GAGCCTTTAAAATAAAATTTAGAATTTTTATTATTTGAATGTAGTTTGACATATGGGCTTTATAAAAAAGTATGATTGAATTTTCATTAGATTTTATCATGTAAAATTTCATATTGTCCGTTTTAGTTAATGTATTTGCTAATACTTTTGAATTAAAATATTATTTTATTCACTATATAAAATATTAATGGCACAGTTAAATAATTTTCCTTCAAGTTCAGCATCATCTTTTTATATTATTTTAATATTTCTTAAGCTACGAAACTGTACTAATAGTCATGCTCTATATGCATTTTTATTTATGTTACTATTCTTTAATTTAACTAACTGTTTCTTTAATTTACTAATTAATAATCCATCATTAAAAAATTTTCATTTATCCCGAAGTGAAACACGGGTATAAATACTAGTTACTGTTATATTTAAGTTATTTGTGTTAGAAATTTTCAAAATAAAATATGAAAAATAATTTCACATTGAAAAAAAAAAAATAAAGACATATAGTTAAATCCATGATTCATGTGATCCTTGTTTGTTTGGCAAGTATTATAGAGTTTTTTTCTTAAAAGTTCTCAGAGAAAAAAATAGAATGGAATTGATTTATTCTGAATTATGTGGTCCCATTAAGATTGAGTCATTAGGTGATAGTAAGTTTCTTATTTTTTCACATATGATCCTTGTTTGCTTGGTAAGCATTATAGATTTTTTTTTCTTAAAAGTTCTTAGAGAAAAAAAATAGAGTGGAATTGATTTATTTTGACCTAAATGGTCCCATTAAGGTTGAGTCATTAGGTGATACCAAGTTTCTTGTTACTTTTATTGATGATACTTCACATAAGACATGGATGTATATATTGAAAACAAAAGCCAAGTATTGCAATAATTTCAAAAATTTCATGTCATGGTAGAAAAGATGACAAGGCTGCCCTTGAAGTGTATTCAAACTAATAATTGTGAAAAATACACATCTAAAGACTTTGAAAAGTACTGTTCAAAACATGAGATTAGACATGAGATAATAGAATCTGAAACACCACAGTATAATGGTGTAGCTGAAAAGATAAACCACATCATTGTAGAAAAAGTCATATGTATGTTGAGAATGACAAAATTACCAAAGTTAGTTTGGGGTGAAGTAGTCAACATAGCTTGTTATTTGCTTAACAGATCACCATCAATTCTTTTGGGTTTTGACATTCCAAAAAGAGTGTGGATAGAAAAAGATGTTTCATACTCTTACTTAAAAGTTTTTGGGTAAAAAACATTCATACATGTGCCAAAAGAATAGATATCAAAGCTTGACAGTAAAGCCATATGGTGTGTGTTTGTAGGATATGATGATGAAAAATTTGATTACAAGGTGTGAAATCCAGTGAAAAAAAAGACAGTCAAAAGCAGAGACATCTATGAAAAAAAAATCATAACAGACCTTGAGAAAAAATGAAAAGATTGCATAAGTTACTATTGAGTGTGATGTTTCAATATCGATAGAGATTTCACAAGAAAGAGCCACAGATAATGAAAATGAGCAAAAAATAAAACTTGAGGATATGAATAAGCTAGCTATAGTTAGTTATGAGCCAAATACAATCAATTTTGAGTAGAGGGAGCAATCTTTTTTACTTGAAAATGTTGAGTAGGTGAAGCTAACTTTGACATCATGTGGTATAAAGTCTCAGCCTAAGAGATCTACTAGAGAGCATAAGCAATCTACTAGGTATCCAAGTTTAGATTTTGTTTTAGTTATCAGTGAAGGAGAGCCAGGGAGCTTTCAAGATATGTAGGTTATTTCGGATAGAGAGCACTAGTTAAAAGCAATGAAAGAAAAGATAAAGTCATTACAAAAAAATGGTACATATGATCTTGTTAAACTTTTAAAAGGAAAGAGACCGTTGAAGAATAAATAAGTGTTCAAATTGAAAAATGATGGTAACAAGCTGGTGAGGTACAAAGCTCAATTGGTGGTACAAAAACCAAGCATGGATTTTGATGAGATATTCTCTCCAGTTGTGAAAATAAGTTTCATTCGAGTGATATTGGGATTAGCAACTAGTTTGAATCTTGAGCTTGAGCAATTTGATGTCAAAACTATATTCTTACATGATGACTTGTAAAAAGACATTTACATGAATCAGCCTAAGGGTTTTGAAGTGAAAAGGAAATAGCATTTAGTTTGTAAACTGAATAAAAGCTTGTATGGCTTGAAATAAGCTTCGCAACAATGGTACAAAAAGTATGATTCTTTTATGGTAAGCCACAGTTATAAAAGAACTGTAATGGATCCTTGTATGTATGTCAACAAATTTTTTGATGATAACTTCATTATTCTCTTATTATATGTTGATGATATATTTAGTATAGGACAAGATGCCGGTATGGTTCGTAGGTTGAAAGAACAATTGTCTAAGTCTTTGACATGAAGAATTTAGGTCCAGCAAAATAGATTTTCGGTATAAACATTATCCAGGATAAGAGAGCTAGAAAAGCTATGGATTATCACAAGAAAAGTATGTTGAATAAGTGCTTAGTAGATTCAACATGTAATATGCTAAATCAGTTAGCAGTCCACTTACCAACCATTTTCATTTGAATAAAAAATCTTGTCTGGTGACTAAAGAAGAGCAACTAGCTATGTCTAGTATTCTATATTATTTTGCAGTCGATTCTTTAATGTATCGTATGGTTTATACATGGCCTGACATTGCTCATACAATTGGTGTAGTGAATAGATTTTTTCTAATTTGAAAAAAGTTCACTCAGAAGCAGTGAAATAGATTTTTAGATATTTGAGGAGCACTTTAAAAATGTGCTTGAGTTATGAAGTTTCACAACCAGTTCTAAAATGGTTTATTGATGCTGACATGATAGGTGATCTTGATGGTAAAAAATTTACTTTAGGGTATTTGTTCACTTTTGCATGAGGAACTATGTCTTGACAGTCTAAGTTGCAAAAGTGTATTGCTTTGTCAACTACAGAGGCTTAGTATATTGCAACAACTAAAGCAGGTAAAGAAATACTTTGGGTGAAATATTTTCTTCTTGAACTGGGGTTGAATCAGAAAGAGTATGTGGTGTTCTGTGATATCTATAGTGCTTTAGATTTGAGAAAAAATATCATGTACCATGCTAGAACGAAGCATATTGATGTTAGATATCACTAGTTATATTCAGTAATTAAAGAATAACAGATGCTGTTGAAAAAAGTCCTCACTGCTGAAAATGTAGCAAATATGTTGACTAAGACACTTCTTAGGGAGAAGCTTGAGCTTTTCAGTAACTTGGTGGAAATAGATTCTTTGGCCAAGGTAAATTCTAAATGAAACTACTATGGTGATGAATTTTCTCTAATGAGGCTAAAGGGAGAGATTGTTAAGAAAATGGGGTCTAACCCCACGTAATTGGTTTTGGACCAATCAAAGTCCATAGGCTTTGGTCTTTCTTTTTACATAGAGCTCTAGCTACTAAATAAAAAGAGGTAGGGGCTGTTTTAATAAGAAAAACAAGGTGGCATCACAAACCAAGAAAAGAAAGAGGAAAAAAAAGCTAGAAAAATAGAAAGAAAATGGAGAAGGGAGAGTTGGTTGAACAAAAATTGATCCATGGTTTGATTGAGCTAAAATTTTTTCAGTAAGTTTATGATTCAGAGTTCTATATTTTGAATGGTGAAGATCAGGTTTGAAGCTCTTTAGAAAAAAAATTCATGGTGTATTTGTTGATTTGTTGAGTCACTTATTTGGTAAAATTTCTTCATTTGTCTCTCTAATTGTTGATTAGCTCTAGTTTTAGCTAGAGAAGAACTTTGTATATCTATTATTTGATAGTGAAAATTTTTTTTGTGGTTCGTGATTTTTTTTCCTCTACGCTAAAGGGTTTTCTATATAAATCTTGGTGTACTTTATTTTTTTTTGTATTGTTGATTATTGATTGTTATCTATTACTGTAAGTTTATTGCGACATATCACTTTTGTGTTATTATGTTTATTGTTTCAAGCTCAACAATTTAGTCATCAAAATGTATACTTGCATGTCAACCTTTGTCTTCTATGAGAAATCTTTTATGAGCTAGGAAGCTTATTCTTTTCAAATATTGCATTGGAATTAATTAATTATGGTTGACATTGTGTAAAATCCATTCAAATATTATGTAAAATTTAGTAAATTTCACATAATTTATTTTTATGATTAAATAATTATAAATTTATAATAAAAAATGGATTTAAATTTAATGCATTGTTTGTGTATAAACGTTATATATTGTTAGTGAATTTTATAATAACATCTCATAAAAAATAATTTTAAATATATTTTTAAAATTATGTATAGTTATTTTTTTAAAATTTTTAAAATTAAATTTTATGAAATATTATTATGTAATTTATTGATAATAAATAATATTTATATACTAACAAAATATAAAATGTAAACTCTAAAAAAATTAGAGCTAAAATGCTCCCTCCCACGAATTGTATACGAACAAAATAAAGTTAGAATATTTATGTCTTTACATTTTTTAAAAGAAATAAACTATGTTTTACATGCGTTTCTTTTTAAAAAAAATTGTCCACCCATGAAGTAATTTCTTTTTTTTTTTTTTTTCAAAGCATAAATTTTACTTTTTAATTTATCATTTCCTTCCATCCATGTAGTGGGTATGTTAAAATCTAGTGAATTTTATTTGTGAAGATAAAATTATGTATCTAAATATTTAAATTCTATTTATTTCGTAAAAAATGATTTATGTATTTTTTATATTTATTTGATAAAAATTAATTACTCAACAAAAAATGTATTAATTTTTTAAAAATTATCTTCCTCTTTTAAAAATATTAATCTTGTTTATAAAATAATAATTTGATCTTGACTTGAGGCTAGATGTGAAACAAATTAGCATTATTTTTACAAAACAAACATTGACAATAATTTCACTAGACGATTCTGATGTTAAAATCCACATCATTAGACGGGTAGAAAACACAAGTAATTTTACTACTCTATGAATCTCATACTGGTTGGTGAGAGCGCAAAGGACTATGAGAAATGTTCAAAGCCAGGTATTCATGCCAAATAATTTCACTACTCGACCGCTTCCAGATTCTCCATTGAAGTATTTTTTCCGTCCGCTTTATCTCCAAATTAAACTTGGGTTCAATGACCCTTTGCCACTGCCGATAACCTATGTAAACAAGAAGTGATTCATCAATCTCATATGGGACATCCGATATCACAATGTATAAAGACATACAAGCAAATAAACTGTTAAAAAAAAAAAAAGGTTTATGTACGCTAACCTTCAACCGGTTCAAAACAAGTCTGTTCCGCCAAATCCTTTAAATCTCCACAGCTGGCTATTACTAATTGCCGGAGATTTGATTATATTACTGGTTTGTCATACCTTGAAATCTAAGTTTGTCACACTCGTCGATATGCAAATTTGAAGAGGGAAGTTGGATGGGGATCCCAGTCAGTTTCCTACATTCGGTCATAAGGAGTTTGTGGAGGGACGGGAATCCTTGTTCATTTGTGAAAGGTAACCATTCCTCCCAATTTTCCATCCTACCGAACATTAAAGTTTCCAGAGATTTAAAGGCCACGACACTATCACCGTAGAATTCTTGGCCCACAGTTTTTACTCCAGCCAGGTCGTGTACGGTGAGTTCTTTGAGAGAGGGTAGTTGCCCAAGTGGTGGCAGTGAGTTGCAATTTTGGCAATTGTCAAGAGTTAGGCTTTTAATTTTGGACAACGAAGCATTCCCTAACCATTTTGGTAACCTCATACCGAAGAAATTTTTTATTTTGAGCCTCTCCAAATTCTCGCCAGGCTGTAGCTTGTCAAGTACATTCGCTGCATTCTCTATGTATCCGTTTTGAGGATCATTTGCTGCATTCTGTAGATTGCCATTACAAGGATCAGCATCCCATTCAAAAATCAACTCACAGAGGTACTTCTTATCCTTTAAATTGGCCTTTTCTGCATCAGCTGTCTGAGAGACATTCTGCAACCGCAAAATAGAAAGGGTGCCACGTAGAAGAGAAAGATCCTTTACCTCACTTATAGTTGACATATTATTGTTGCCTACAACAAACTTAGTCAACAGCTGAAGACGTTTCAAATTACCGAAATTTGGAGGCATCTGCAGGATAGGGGTTCCCTCGATACCAAGATACTCCAATTTGGTAAGGTTGCTGAAGTTTGCTGGCAAAAAAGTGAGACGAGGACAACCTGACAACTTCAGTGTCTCCAAGTTATACAAACAGCCTACACTTTCTGGTAAATGTGGAATGGCAGCACCAGACAGGTCCAAGTAGCGTAGCTGTCTTAAGTTGCCAACTGAATCAGCAGGGAACTCAGTTATATTGTAAGATGACAATGACAATACACGCAGGCAACTGGGCGATGGAAACAATTTCTTGAAGACTCCAGAATCAAAACGAGTCTTACCTTCACTTGGTGATCTGAGTGGAAGGAAGGTCCGCAAAACCTTATTTTTTTCATAGAAGGCCACAAATTTATCAGGCGTGTCACTTGGCTTTAATATGCATGACAAATGGCGAACCCTTGCAGGGTTTTGGGGAGGGCTATCATGCTCAAACTTGAAACTAAAGTCGCCTGCTATATGTTGAGCTAAATCATTGACAAGGTCATGCATTATGAAACGTGATTGATCATGATTTTGTTGAAAAATTGACCTTGATAACAGTTCATGAAAGTACTGCTCACCAACTTCCTCCATTCTTCTTCCACTGTTTGGCTGCTGCACTAAGCCTTCGGCTATCCACATTCGAACCAAATCCCCTTTTTCAAATTTGTGGCCCTTGGGAAATATGGAACAATATGCAAAGCAGCGTTTTAGTTGAGAAGGAAGATAGTGGTAACTCAACCTTAAGGCAGGTAGAATGTCACTCTTATAATCCGGCAGATCCCATATTCTACTACTCAATAAATTGTTCCATTCCTCAGCCTCAACTTCGGAATGCAGCAGACTCCCAAGTGTTTTAATTGCTAAAGGCAAGCCTTTACATTTTTTCACAATTTCCTCACCAATTCCTTTCAGGGTGGAATCTTCATCCGGATCGTTATCTCCAAACGCATGCTTTGCAAATAATGACCAGCAATCTTCTTTAGATAACATCTGCAAATCATGAACAAGTACATCATGTATGGTCGATGAAACACTTTGGCTCCTTGTAGTCACAATGATCTTACTTCCAGGGGCACCAACTTGCAAGGGTCTACGCAGCAGATCCCATTCTCTAAAACTCTCATTCCAAACATTGTCCAACACAAGTAGAAATTTTCTGCCCATCAATGTCCTCTCGAGCTTGACTTGAAGCACGTTTAAGTCTTTAATAGCAGAATGCGACAAAGTGGCGGACTCATAAATGGTTTTGGTAACCTTAAAAACATCAAATTCTTCCGAGACATACACCCAAGCTCTCAAGTTAAAATGATTCTTCACCATCACATCATTATACAAAAACTGAGCAAGGGTGGTTTTTCCAATCCCACCCATTCCTACAATTGCAATCACAGGTATCCCCTTCCTCTTCACGCCATCAGACAACAAAACATCAAGAAGGTGCTTTTCATCGTCATTTCTGAAGCATACTTCAGATTCATCGACCAAGGAAGTAGTGGGTAATCTTGGAAATGATTTCCATCGTTGGCCTGCTTTCAAACTAAGGATATCTTTCTCCGCAGCAATGAGTTCCAGTTTTGAAACAATGTTTTCAAGGCGAGTATTGAAGTCTTTTACCTGCTTTTCCTGAACTTGATCTTCAATTCCAATGGCATCCAGTAGATCCTCAGCATCGTAAGCAGCGTCTTTGAGCTTGTCCAGCCACTTTTTGACAGAAGGGTTCATGATTTGCTTCTCCTCTGCATCACCAAGCACTTTATCCACCGTTAGCAGTAATATTTCCATTTTCTGCAAGAGATCATCTCTCAGCTTCGTTCCCGGGAAGATGTTGATTAGCGGCTTCTCCAGGACAGTTGCCACCTTATCAAACACTACATTAAGAAAGGACGAAAGAAATGCCCCTCCCACGGCTAATACCACAGCCTCCGAAACCATTCCTTTTTTTTTTTTTTTCAGCTAGAAGGATTGAACAAGTAAAAATCGAATGACAATGAAAAACTTGATTGTAGTAAGACTTTAAGAGTTGAGAATAACTTTTCTGATTAGTTCTTTCCGATCGTGGCGTTGACTGGTTTGCTCCCAACTAAGGTTGAGTTGGCAACCTTTTCGTAGTCTATTAGTTTAATATAATTCTTTAAGGTCCTGTTTGATTGGGTAATTATTCTAAAAATTATGATGATTTATATAGTAATTAAATCATTATATTTGATAATTATAGATGATTTTAGGTGATGGTAATCTTAGATCATCAAGAATAATCAGATTATTAACTTGGAATGTAATCTAATTCCCATCCAAAAAGTCTATAAAAAATGATGAAAAACTTTTATTATCAAAATAAAATGATATATAAAATTAATAATAGTGAATATCACCCACTTAATATATGAATTAAAATTTTATTTTTTTTCTAAAATTTTAATTATATTATTATAAATTTTTATATTTTAAAACTAATATTTATTGTAATAGTTTCAAAAATAATCTATGTTTTTTTTAATATTTTATAAATAAAAAATGTTTACTTTTATTATGAATACAGGTTATATTTAGTACATAAGATTATAATAAAATATGATAAGATAATATTATAAATAAGATTAAATTAAATAATATCATCTTATTTTGTGTTTAATGCATACAAAGATTATGATAAGATAATTTATTTATTTATCAAAAGTATTCCTTCAAAATTTATACAATTTAAATTTTTTATATAAATTTTAAGGGTATAATTAGACATATAAGTTTAATTTTATAGAAATAAAATAATCCTATCCACTTGGAGAGGTTAAATAATCCTATGCTAAAGGATATTAATCCTCCTTACAGTTCTTATCATTTTCTTTAGATACAAATAAAAAAATGATATAGAATGATTATCATCACATCTTATCAGTAATCCTAAGCATCAAACATAAAATTAATATATTGATTTTATTTTCTAATTCAAATATTATTTTACATAATTTATATTATAAAAATTAATTTACCTATCAATAAATATATTTATTAATTTAATTATTTTATTTTATTTTATTATAAAATATATAAAATCTTACTAAAATTTTATAAATTTTTATCTTTAACTTACATTAAAATTATTAATTTGTAAAACTATTATAATATGCATGGTTACTCAATCACACATTATAAAACGAATTAAGTGATATGATTTCAGTTTGTGAATTTTAAAAAAATTTATATAACAATAAATAATAAATTAATGAAGATATATTAATTTTGAGAAGTAATCAATTTATATCGATATAAAGTTCAAAAGTTTTACACTTATTTTTAACAATTAATTTTCATAAATTCAAGAGATGAAAATGATTAATTAAGAAAAAGTTTAATTTCATCATTTATTTTTATTGTAATTAATTATTAAAAAATATAAAATTTTTTCATTGTACTAAATTGATCCCTCCTAGTTAATTTTTGCTTTTCTTAAAAATATAATATAAACCTTTTCTTAAGAAACTTTTATTAAACTGATAATTGGTTTTATTTTTTCTTTATATTTTGAAATTGCATATTCAATTATCTTTAGTTATTTTTTATGTTTATATATATATATATATATATATTGATTCGATTATTATCAAATCGAATTCAAATAATTCCACTCGTTTGATAAATCGAATATAAATATTTTAATCTTAATTCAAATAATACATCAACGCTAATTAATTTTTTATATTTTATTATATATTTTTATTATTTTAATTAAAAATTATTATTTATTTATATATATATATATCAATTCAAATTCAAATATAAATAATCAAATTAAAATTGAGTATGAAAAACGAGTTAATTTTTTATTATATAAATAAATTTATTCCAATAAATTTGAATAATTTAATTTTTATTTCGAATTGAACTTAAACTTAAAAATTAAAATTTGATTAAGTTTCACTTGAATTTCGAATAATAAATTTTGATTCAAATTCAAGTTTTTTAATATATTGATTCGGTTAGACTAAATTACATTAAGTGTGCCAAAGTATAAATACTAACAAAAATACCTATACACTCGACGCATTAATAACAATATTTTTCTGCCATACCACTAACTCGTCATTTCCATTACCCCTAATTGAAATTTCTCCCTAGCTCAATAATTTACGCAACCAAATCGAAAAGTCTAAACTCAAGGAAGACTCATCGCTGCAGAAATAAGTTTCTTGGGCGCTGATCCACCTCTGAAATCTCATTAGATCAAACAAAACCAATCCCTTTCTTGCCGTTGCCTCACCTTCTGCTTGCTTTTAACATGACTGGTTTGTCTTGTTCCATTGCGGCGCTGTTAGGAAAGCTTCGCTCTGTTCTAGACTCACCCAGCTTCACAAAAGAAAAGTCTGTTTCATTCTTGAAGAGGTTGGAATCAGCACTGAAGATGGTTAGCGATGTGATTATTGACGCAGAGAAGCAGCAACTTCAACTGAGGATCGTGAAGATTTGGCTTCAGGAGCTGGAAGATGCTGTTTACGATGCAGAGGATGTGGTGGATGAGATCTTATATGAAGCCACAAGACGCAACCTAGAAGCTGAATCTCAGAACTTCAAATCCTGGGCACGAGGGTCCCTCCTTACTTCTACCAAACGAAATGCGAGGCGAATGAAATCGATTAGGAAAACTGTGGAAGTTGTTTATGCCCTTGCTGTGAAAAAATATCAATTTGGTTTCCGTCGACTAGAAACGCATAATGAAATGCGTTTGTCAGAGTTAGACAGCTTGCCTGTTAGTACATCTTTGCTAGATGAAACCGCAATCTATGGAAGAGAAGAAGACAGGAGTGACGTTGTCCGCTTGCTACTATCAGGGCATGAAAATCTTGCTGCGATTGCCTTAGTTGGCGAGGGAGGGTTGGGCAAGACCACCCTTGCGCGGCTCGTATACAACGATGAAAAAGTGCGTATGCATTTCGAACCAAAAGTATGGATAGGTGTTGGAATCGATTTTGACGTTCACATAATCACCGGGAAAATTCTTGCGGCTGTCACTTTTTGCAGTTTTAAGGGATACGGATTAGATGAGCTTCAAGAAAAATTGAGTGCTAGCTTAGCTGGGAAGAAATTTATACTTGTCTTGGATGATGTTTGGAACGAGGATTTTAGTAAATGGGACGCCCTACTAAGTTCGCTTAAATCTGGGGCAAGGGGAAGCAAGATTATTGTTACCGCACGCAGTGTTAATGTTGCATCTGTTATGGGCTGTTCCACTCCTTATTATGTACATGCATTGACAGTGGAGGATTGCTGGTCCATATTGGAAAGCTCTGCATTTGCGGGGAGGGATAGAAGTGACGTGGAAAATCTGAAGTATATTGGAAGGAATATTGTGGAGAAATGCCATGGTTTACCTTTGTCCGTGAGAGCAATTGGGGGGCTCTTGCGTTTCAAAAAGACCTCTAGAGAATGGCTCTTTGTCCTAGAGAACCTGGAAAAGCTGAAGTTCGAGTCATTTAGAACCAAAACTGGTGATTCAATTTCACCAATTCTATGGCTGAGCTATTATCACCTCCCTGCACAATTAAAGCGATGTTTTGCTTATTGCTCGTTGTTTCCCAAAGATTATGAGTTTGACATGGAAGAACTGGTTCTCTTGTGGATGGCGGAAGGCTTTCTACAACCGTCTACCGTGCAATCAGAGGAAAAGGAGGTTGGTGCTGAATGCTTTAACGGTTTACTGCAGAGGTCATTCTTTACACGGGGTGACAGCTCACGCTTTAAAATGCATGATCTGATGCATGATTTAGCTGAGTTTGTATCCGAAGGAGTCTGTTTCAGATTGGATTCCAGATTATCCAATAAAATAACAGAACCTGCAATACCTGGAAGGACTCGGCATCTATCACTGCTAACAAGCCAACATGAGAAGGATAAAAAATTATCTTTCATCCTTGAAAAGAGGTTAAGAACCATCTATCTGATTAATTGTCCTTCAGGTCATGAATCTTGTGAATTAAGTCCTGAAGCATTGCAGCTTATTTTTGCAAGAACAGTAAGATTACGAGTCCTATCAATACCTCATTTTCAATATGCTGAATTGCCAGCTTCAATAGGAAACTTGAAATGTCTACGTTACCTAGATGTCTCTGACAGTACGTTAAAAAGTTTGCCTGAATCATTATGTACTCTGTACTGTCTACAAACATTGATATTGACGAACTGCTCTTCTCTTCGTATGTTACCACAAGGCATAGTAAAGCTGGTTCACTTGCGAACGCTTCACATTAAGGGAGCTGGGTTGAAGCAGATGCCAAAAGAAATGGACAGATTAATGTACCTTAGAAGTTTGTCTAATTTTGTTGTGGGCTATGATGGGTCAAGCATTAAGGAACTGGGGGCACTTCGTTATCTTCATGGGTCTCTGTCTGTTTCAATGTTGCAAAATGTATCTTCTGCTTCCGATGCATACGCTGCCAATTTGAAAAATATGCGATATCTTGACGAACTAGAGTTGGATTGGAGCCATAAGAATGAAGTTTCAGCAACAAATCAGGAAGAAGTGCTTGAGAATCTAGAACCTTCTTTGGAGTTGAAAAAGCTTTCAATTCGATTTTATGGTGGTAGACGGTTTCCAATGTGGTTGGGGGATTCTTCAATCTTGAAGATAACTTCTTTACATCTTGGTGATTGTTATAATTGTAATTCATTGCCTCCACTTGGGCAGTTGTCGTCGCTTGAACATCTCATTATTGAAGGCTTTAGTGGAATAAGGTGTATTGGCCTTGAATTCTTTGGGGTAGATGTATCTGATTCTAAACCTTTTCAGTCTCTTAAGACTTTAAAATTCGGGGAAATGTTACAATGGCAAGAGTGGATACTACCTGAAGCGGAAGGCAAAGAATTTCCCTGCTTGGAAGAGTTTTATATTGTAAACTGTCGAATATTGAAAGGGGGTTTACCAAAGAGCCTCCCAACTTTAAGAAAACTGGCGATCGCTAATTGTGAAAATCTTGTGGCTTCACTTCCACGGAGTTCTGAACATTGTGTACTGGATTTAGACACCTGTTACAAGGAGGAAACTCAAGATAAGATACTATCAAAAAGTGACGGTGAAGTTGCATCACAGTCCTCTTCAAGTATGACTCAGATTCCAGGCAATGAAATACAGTTGGAACGGATTGGAACTATGGAAACTCCAGCAGAGGAGAAAGCAGAGCCGGAGGATCAAGAGCTGTCTGGAAAGTTTGAAAAACCACAGTCCTCTTCAAGTATGACTCAGATTTCAGGCAATGAACTACAGTTGGAACGGATTGGAACCAAGGAAAATCCAGCAGGAGAGAGAGCAGTGCAGGAGGATCTAGAGCTGTCTGGAACTTTTGAAAAACCGCAGTCCTTTTCAACTATGACTCAGATTTCAGGCAATGAACAACAGTTGGAACGGATTGGAACTAAGGAAAATTCAGCAGAGGAGAGAACAGTGCAGGAGGATCTAGAGCTGTCTGAAGAGTTGGAAAAACCTTCGATTGGATCTTATGGTGGTCAAGAGTTCCCGAAGTGGTTGGAAATTTCTTCCCTCTCCAAAATAACTTTTCTATATGTCAGTGACAACAACAATTGCTCGTCATTGCCACCACTTGGGCAGCTGCCTTTTCTTGAACATCTTACATTTCAAAGGATTAGAGGAGTAAGAAGCATTGGCCCTGAATTTTATGGGCTGGGTTTACCTTTTCGGAAACCTTTTCAATCTCTTCAGACTTTGAAATTTGAGGCTATGTCACAATGGGAACGGTGGACACCACTTGAAGTGGATGGTGAGGAATTTCCCTGTCTGCAAGTGTTTTATATAATAAACTGTCCAAAATTGGAAGGGGATTTACCAAAGGCCCTTCCCTCTTTGATACAACTGGAGATCTCTGAATGTCAACAGCTTGCAGCTTTACTTCCATGGACTCCCGAACATTGTGTATTGAAGTTAGAGAACTGCGACAAGGTGCAGAAGAGAAGTAAAGAGTTCTCTCCAAAGATAATGCAGCAAGTGCAAGATGATGATCAGACAAAACCTTCATCAAGTGAAGGAAATCAGCAGTTTTCTTCCTCCTTGAGCTTAAATGTTTCAAGCGTTGGCATGGAACAATCAATAGAACTGCCGACAGACTCGCACAGCCTCAGAATTGAGAGATATGCTTCGGATATGCTACCTAAAGAAATATTAGAGAGGTCTTCTCTTCAACATTTATATATCATTGATTGTATTCCCCTCAAGATCTTTCCTCTGTCCCCTTCATTGAAAACACTCTACATTCACAACTGCAAGAGCTTAGAATTTCCCCAGCCTAACAAAGTGATGAACCAAGATGTGCTCCTAGAAGATTTATGTTTAGGGAGTAGTTGTGATTCTCTCGAAATTTTCCCGTTAAATTACTTCCCAAAACTTAAAGCTCTTAGTCTGTGGGACTGCAGAAATCTTGAATGTCTCTCAATTAAGAAGGAATTGCAGACTGAACTTACTTCACTTGATGCCTTGGAAATCAAAGATTGTCCTAAGCTTAGGTCCTTTCTTGAAGAGGAATTTCAAGCTCCAAACCTGACATCACTGGTTTTCTTCAACTGCGGGAGTCTCAAGTCGCTGCAACGGATGCAAAGCTTCAAATCTCTTCAATCACTGTATATAAGCAAATGTCCAGCACTGGTGTCGCTTCCTGTGGAGGGCTTGCCATCCGGCCTAGTTATACTTTGCATCTCTTTTTGTGACAAAATCACTCCCCAAAATGGGTGGAAGTTAGATAAACTTCATTCTCTTAGTCATTTTGAGATTGAAGGTGGATGCCAAAGATTGGAGTCATTTCCGGAGGAGGGGTTGCTGCCGATAAATCTTAACTCTCTGCGCATCAGCAGGCTTTCGAATCTTACCTCCCTGGACAGGGAGGGACTTCATAAACTCACCTCTCTTCAAGCGCTTGAAATAAATTGCTGTAACAAGCTTGATTCATTGCCAGAACATAGGCTTCCTTCCTGCTTGTCTTCTCTAAGTATTACAGACTGTTCTCTGCTGAATCCGAAGCTTCAAAATAGGAAAGGGGAGGAGTGGTTCAAGATAGCTCATATTCCTTCCATCCACCTTGATGAGGTAAAATCTCATAAACAACTCTAGAAGCGTCTTTTAATTTGTATGTGAAATACAGTGAATGTTTTAATTAAAGACACTTTTCTTGCATTTTCAGATCAGTGATTAATACAATTGCTTGTCGATTTCAAACCAGGCACACCGCTACAGGTTTGTCGTCTTAGATTCTTACTCAGCTTAATGTCTTTCATTTTTCATTGCCAAGGTGGAGAATTTTAGATGGAGCTGGAACTCAAAAATCTTGGATCCCATAAATAATTTTTATTATAATTGGATAAATGCAGAATTATAATTTAGATGCTCCCTTCTCTCAAGTGAATCTCAAGTTTATATTCACAAGAATATAAACTAATTTCCTTTCAGGTATGCTGCGCAATGAAAAAGATGGGTTAGTACAGATCATTTAATATTAAATATTTGGTTCTGGTAAATATGTTTAGTTCCTTTAATAACATGTTCATATGTAACCACGATGACATACACAAAATATTATCATTCATTACAGGTTTTGGTGCTTTGGTTATTATTATTCTCATTTTTTGTATTTTGCAGTTGACAGAGGTTAACAACAGACTTTCTCATGTGCTGAGGGAGTGGATCACTGCTTTGCTCTCTGTCACTAGTTCCTATAAGTCATGGTGCCATGAGGCTTTTAAAGATTGTCAAAAATGTATTCAAATGTCCAGACCTTGGAGTGGAATGGAATGCAGATGTTTATGGTTTGGTGCTAGACCTGTGCTTACCATACTGTTTATGGACTTTCTATGCTGCTGTGTTAATACGAGGATGTTCTTTTGTAATATCAGTTCTGTTTTAGGGGTGTTTTTTCGATTTTACTTGTCTTTTGCAGCTGCGTTACTTTGTACTGTGAGTGTGATCACTAGCTATTGCTGGTATGATGTTTGAACTTTTGTGTCTTTTTGAGACTTCTGAATAAATTACTCTTGGCTTAGCAAAAAATCAATGCTATCTATATGTAGAACATACTTCTGATGTGTGTTTGTATCAGTTTTATATCACTTAAAATTTGTATGTTTTGAATTGTGGGGTGGCCTTTGAAAACAATCAATCAAACATATAATTGTTCTCAATATTTAGGCCTCCAAATGGGCCACTGAGCAGTTTCTTTGAGTTTGACCTGATGAGGGGTTTTTTCTCCGGACAAAACGGAACTTGAAACTTAAACCAAATGTATTCATTTAGTTGTTAATTTTCCATATGTATTTTACCTCTAAAAGCTAAAAAGAAAGTGAATTTAAATGCAAAACCAAAGGATATTTTTGGAGAATAAAAATTGAAAATGTTTGTTTAGCTCATTCATTTGGTCCTTAAGTTGCAATTTCTTTTTTTACATAAATAAGAAAATGGGTTGTTTGGAATTTGAACTCCAAACTTGTTATATGTTATTTTTTAAGGGTAAATACATAAACCAATTCGGATTCTCTGAAACAGCATGCAAGACATGAAATGGCATTGTTAATAATGACATTGGCTTCCAAGATGGGATCCATGTCACTTACAATACTATAATTAGTCAATTAAAGTAAAAAATTATGCAAGAGTCCACCACTTAAAAATGTGAGCTTTACATAATTTTTTTATGAGTCCCACATACATAATGCTGAATTCTGATTGGTTAATCCCACATAGATGATATACTCCCAAGATGGAACCAGGAGATAGAAGTGTTATATTTACAGCAGCTGGCCAGGCTGGCCTAGAATACTTATACTTTGGAAGTTCTGAATGTCAAGAAAGTGGTTAAAGGGGGAGGTGCTGCTAGCCTATCCTTGCACATCCTTGCTGTTGTGAAGTTGGAAAGTCTTTTTCTTCTTCTTAACTTTCTGGTTTCTTTTTCTAATCAAAACCCCCCTTTGTTTAAGCCCTTTTGAAGGGCTTCTTTCAAACTCACTCAAAACACATTTCCAACCAACCTACCATCTTTCCTTGATTGATAACAACACACTTTTACCTCCTTTTTCAATATTCATTCATTGACTCTTCTACCCCAATACCTTTAATGCTCTAATTATCCTTTTTATTCCATCAAATACTTAATTATGTTCCTCTAGACTAGTTAGGATATCTATTTAATTGATTTATTTTCATCTTATTTTTCTCGCTTTAATTTTGTTAGGTGAGACTCGAACAAAGTATAATAATTATTAAATTTAATAATTTTAAATATGATACGATAATATGATAAAAAATAATACAAAAAAATATAAAATAACATAGATTAAAATATTGACAAAAAGTATGAATTCAAAAAAAACTGAAAAAATATGATACGTTCGTATTTTACATGAATTATCATATAATAATTATATATTATAAATGCATCAAATATGAATTCTTACTTAATTTTAACTCATTCCACTGTTGGTTACTTGGTATGTACAAGTTCTTATGATCATGTCCAGGAAGAATTGCAAATTACCCAATATTTTTTGTCTCTTTATTATCCATTTAAATAAAACTAATATTTCAAAATGATCAATTACCTTTATAATAGTTCAAACATAAGAGATATGGGATAAATTAGATGAAGTTGTAGAGTGATAAGGGTAACAACTATGTTAATTTCAGATCAGATAGCAAAGCTGATTCAAATAAAACAAATCAATTGTTGAGCTAAAAGCCATATCCCAAACGTAGATTTCCATTTGTGAATATGATTTAATCATCCTGTTCCTGTGACCTTTGGAAGGGTGGGTTGGTCATTTGATTTGAATTAAAACATGGAGGCCATCATTTGGTAGTTGCTTGACGAGAATGATTAACATGAATAAAATAAGGTTTAACAAACTTCCATCATTATCAGTCCAGGGAAATGAAATTTTATTTAATTTGAGTTCAAAATAAGAAATTGCTTCTCCTTCTCCCTCTTTCCTATCTGTCCCCTTCTTCTCCAACTCTTTTGCTCTGCAAAAAAATTTTGTGATAGACAGAAAGGCAAATGGATTGCTCTATCTGTAGTTCAATGCCATTTATTCTAAGGCCTCCAAGGAATACAATATGTGTAGCATGCTATGAAGGAGTGAGAAATGTAATCACATTGATGAACAAGCTTGCAAATGATCATAGTAAAGGAACTGATAAAGCCAGTAATATTCCTGTTGCATCTTCGCCAAATTCCTGTAAGGCAAGCTCTGCTTTCATGTTTTCTTGTTAATTTCTTTGGTGGCCTGGTTCATGCAGTCAATCAATTTCGAAACAGCGATCCCTACATGTTTTCTTGTTACATTTTCTGTTTGTATGAATCCATTTATGTATGTTTAGAAATTTATGATTCTGTGATTGTTGTTAGAATTCTGACATTTGAATTGTTTCATTATGGAATACGATGCCTAGCGATATATATTCCTGACTAGCATTAGAGTTTTGTTTGTCCTCTAAAAGCTAATATATGTGAACCTGGAGCTCGGTTCATGCAGCCATTCACATCTGATAGATCTGAAATTCAAATTACAGCTACCCTTTCCACTATTCCTAGGCTGTGGTTTTATTTAGAAGAAAAAAAAACGCTAATATATGCTCAATTTTGACAACCCGGAATTAATATAGTCTAAAGTATGTGTTTTTTCCTTGTGTTAGCCACAGCCACTTGCAAATCTTACCAAATGGATAACAAGCATGAAGGATATAGAAGATGACTTGAATAAGAAAATAAGCTTCTTAAGTGGACTTGTTGTGGCATTCAGAGATCAAATTCACACTGACATTCAGCTCAAGCCTGGCGACAATGGCCCTTGCATACCAGCACACAGAGCTTTACTAGTAATTCCTTCCCAGGCCTCCCTCTCTACGATCTTTATTTCCATGGTTTTTTTTTTCTGTAAATTAACTAAACAATTATATATTTACCGAATTTATAGGCAGCAAGATCAGAGATATTCAGGAACATGCTAGACTCAGATGGCTGCAAGGCTCCACCAAGTGATACTATTACACTGCCAGAGTTGAATACTGAAGAACTTGAGTCCCTCCTTGAGTTTCTTTACAGTGGAAACTTGCCCTTAGACAAGCTGGAAAATCATGTTTACTCATTGTTTGCTGCAGCTGATAAGTATGAGATTCCATACTTGCAAGATTTCTGCGAGCAATTTATGTTGAGTTCATTGAACACCTGCAATGTTCTTGAAATTTTAGAGATATCAGATGTTTGTTCAAACAAGACATTAAAGGAAACTGCATTGAACTTCATTGTTAGAAACATAGAGGATATAGTTTTCTCAGCTAAGTATGAAGCTTTTGCACCGAAGAACCCTCATCTTGGAATGCAGATTACAAGGGCATTTTTAACGGATGCCAAAACCAAAAGAATTAATGGATTTTGATCAGACCATGCTTATATCTGGTGAAAGTAATCACCAAGAATGTATAGACTATAGAATATATTTTACATATACAAAACTGGAAAGCAATAAAATTTTGATTTGTTACCATAAATGACAATTTCATTAAGGTGGCTTGTTTGAGCTCATTAATTAATGCAAAAGGCTGATTTTTCTCCTTCAACTTTTATTTCATATCTATTTTATCTTTAATTTTTTTTAAAATTTTAATCTATTCTATCCAATGCTTTATCTGGCTGGCTGAAGATATTATGCACCTAACTTTTTTCGAACTAGATACTTCTAAGTATTAACTCCAATGCTAGTTGATCCAAAGAGTTGAGATACTCATTAATAATGTATAGTACTAATTTTCAAGTCTTTTCCAAATGCTTTTACTAGGTGATTATATAATCCAAAAATGGTTTCATTTGTCTTATTTTTTTCGATTTCAAATATTTATTTAATTAATGTGTATTTTTATTTTTTTATTTGAAGCTGTCCCAACGAAAATTTTTCTTCAAATATTTATTAATTGATTTGTATTTTTTTTATATTTTCTTATTTTTATCTCTTCAAATATTTATTTAATTGATTTTTATCTCTTAATTTCAATGTGGATATTTTGAGGCTTTATCACTTAGGATAGATTTAATTTTAAGATTATGTTCCATTGAGTTTATATCTTTTAGGTTTGATGATAAATAGTATTAAACTAGTATTTATCTTTCTTTTTCTTGTAAGTAGAGTTCAAAAGATTCTGAGCTAATTGGAGTTGAATTTCAATAAAATTCAAAGATTGAATTTTCCTTAGAAAATTTTTTTAGAGAAAGACAAGAACAAAAATAAAACCTCCATTTAAAAACCAAATACATCATCACCGTCATCATTTACATTACAAAAACAACAGAGTGCAGGACGATCAACCTTCCTCATAATGCCATCAAAAGAAACTTCATCGTTATCATCACTATTTAGTTCATTTACCAATGGCAGCTTCACATATTTGTATGATATATTCTCTTCTTGCTTTCCCAGAACAAGCACAAGTGTGACTGCTGCAGTGAACAAGGTAACTTCTTATTTCTTCTTTTTTTTTTTTTTCATTTTTTTGGCTTAATATCCTTCGTACATTTCTTGATCTATGAGCAATTATGCTAGTCATGTTATACATATATATTAATTGATTGTTATTATTTCATTAAAAGATTATTATGTAACAAGTTAGATTTATTAAATGTAAAAATATCTGCTACATGCTACATTGCAAGAATCAAATGCAAGCGGTAGATCTGACAGAAGATCAATGATGGAAAAACTTTATTTTAAGGTTTTTTTTTTTTTTTTATAGCCTCAGCCACATGCAAATCAAGCGAAATGGATGGCTGATTTGAAAGATAAGAGAATAAGTTTCTTAAGTGGACTATTTGGTGCATTCAAAGAAGAAATTCATACAGATGCACAGCTCAAGCCCGGTGATAATGGCCCTTGCATACAAGCACACAGGGTCTTATTAGTAACTCCTCCCCTCCATCTCTGATTTCTTTTTCAGTTTTTATTTTGGATTATGTATTGTAAACATTAGCATACACTTTAATATTGTTTGTTGTAGGCAACAAGATCTGAGATCTTTAAGAACATGCTATACTCAGATGGCTTCAAGGTTCCACCATGCGATACCATCACTCTTCCTGAACTAAATTCTGAAGAGCTTGAATCTCTGCTGGAGTTCCTTTACAGTGGTAGCTTGCCCTTGGAAAAGTTGGAGAAGCATGTCTACCAATTGTTCATTGCTGCTGAAAAATATGAGATTCCATACTTGCAGGAGTTCTGCCAATGTTATATGCTGAATTCATTGAATGCATCAAGTGTTCTTGATGTTTTAGAGACCTCAGAAGTTTGTTCAAACAAGGGATTGAAGGAAATTGCCCTCAACTTCATCTGCAGGAACACGGAGGCTGTAGTTTTTTCAGATAAGTATGAAGCTTTGGCAGCCAAGAACCCTCAGCTTTGCATGAAGATTACAAGGGAATTCTTTATGAATGCCAGAAATGAGAAAATCAGTAGAGTTAGAATATTGGGGTTTCAGAAGAAAATAGGGCTTCAGGAGAAATCCTGCAAGGAGTTTCAGGTAAAGGCTGGTGAAGGAAAAATGGGGAATTGCCAAGAACTTGAACAATGTAAGCACTAAAAAATTTAGAGGTCCTGTTTGGTATCTTTTCTTAAAAAAGGTATTTGGATTTTAGATTTAGTAAAAAATTTGTGACAAGGTATATGTAAATATTACCTGCATGATTATTTTTGAATTCATGGTTTTGTTATGATTGTTTAGTACTGAATTTGAAATACTTAGCAATTATGACTTTGATGAAATTCATTTTTAGACATAAAATCTTAACTGATTTGTATATTTTTGGATTTTCTTTTGTTTATTTTTTCTTTATAATAACTTCAATAAAAGCTGAAAACAAATAGTAGAAACTACACAAACAGGGCAAGGATTGCTTATTGCTGTTTAGCTTGATAAGCCAGGGGCAATCAACAGAGCAGCCTATGCCTGTCAATTTCTGCAAATTTGTATGATGCTGAAAAATCATTAAAAAAAAAAGTAATAATCTCCAGTGCAAATCATACTTTCCCTCACAATGTGATATCATTATCTACAAAATTTACAGAAAAATGCATGAACCTGGCAACCTTTTTTATTTTTTTAATGTATATTATTTGAGATGCAAATTTTAACCACAATATCATAGATTTCTGGACTTATCTCATTGTTCTTTCCAAATGCGGCCAGCCACTTTCAGCTTCAGCTCCTGTCTATCACCACCTGAGAAGAAGAGTGCCAGGTTTCTTTGAATGATAAGTCCATCTTGACTATCTCGAACTTTCCGATGACTATCACGAATACTTCTAGGAACTCCTTGCCAAATCAACTTTCTGCCATTGCCACCAACTTCCAGACTATAACTAAATTGTCTTGCCTCATCTTCATCACCCATGAACCGCAGGAAGGCCATATAAACTGGTGCCATTCCTATGTGAAAAGCCTCAAAGTGCAAGCAAAATTGTCGACCAAAGCAGTTGAAAACCTGCAGCAGATATAGGACTATCATCAATTAGTTTAGCATTTTAAGCATTTTCAGTTTGGTTAGTATTTAAGTAACATTTCTGACGTCCGTATGACATTGAAGAATTAATTCAGTTACCATGCAGAAAGTACAAAATGATTAACCAGAGGAACATCTGTTACTATTTAATCATTTTAGTATAGAATTCGGATCAGACAAAGATCTGTTTGAGATGATGTATGAAAGTTTGTGAACTTGTCGCAAGTATGTGTAAGTCACAGAGAGGAGAGCGGATGTGAAGGAGGGAGCGAGAGGGGTGAGAGATCTCACAGTTAGCATCCACGTGGCATTTTCTACTTCATGGGGATTGGATTTGACATATCTGTGGTTGAAAATACAACCATCATGCATGTCAACCTTGTGATCATTCTTGAGATGCATGACAAGAAATGGAATATCACCAGTGACAGAGCATTCAGCTCCAGCATATGGGCAATTATATGGGCGATATCTACACTTTTTTTCATGCTTGAGCTTGCTGTAGTATGGGAAAATATCATGACAACCCAGAATCTGATATCTGCAAGGAAGTTCTAGTGACTCCGCTACTTTCTCCAAAGCCAAACACCTTATATTTCCAAGCTCATTGCGGCATGTTGGGCAAGAGTTGCGAACTCTAGCCTTGCAAATTGAACATACAGTGTGGCCATTGGGACACTAACATAGAATATATGAAAAACTGTCACTAGAATATTGTTGAAATAAAAAGTTTATATTATGATTGTGATGCATTAGTGCAATCGAGAAGATGCAAATGTAAAACTTCTAAACACACTTTTACTCATGCATGCTAAGTATAATGGCACTATCCATATACCTCTATCGGCTGCCAGGCATCCAAAATTAATTTAAGAGTAGCATAATCACAATATGCACACCCAAATTCAGTTTAAAATATTGGCATCTTTTCAGTTAATTCCAGAATGTGAGATGATAATCCCAATTTCTTCTGCTTAAAAGCTTTGGGAAAAGTGTCCAGCTTTGTGGTTTATAAATTATACATGATGTCAATTTCTTCAATCATGATTGATTTACAAAAATATATGTTGTTTCACTTTGAATGACATACAATGTCAAATCCCAATGCCTACCTGGTAAAACAAGTATAAAACAAGTATGAAACAAGTATAAAATATCAAGGAGAATGCATTTCCATGTACTTTCGGAATTTTTATTTTTGGCATGTAATGTGAAACTACCTGGTAAATTGGAGGATACATCAAATTTATGCAAACAGGACACTCAAGTAGTTCTTGCACATCATTTGTTGATGTTGCTCCCATATTTCCACCTAAACCAGTTGCAGCTTTTCTTAAAGGGGAACCTCTTAAGTCCAGACTTGAAGTAGCCATATCATAATCCGCAAATGCAATGTGAGACTCTATCACATCTTTACAGATACCACTGCCAGGTGCCATAATTCTAGCTTTGAATGTTAATGCCAGAACACACTATTTGTTAGATATACTATAGTGGCAACCATGCAGCGGAAGATGGGGGATGCATTGGACCTTCTCTCTTAACTCCTCATCCGCAGAAGTTTCATAACCTCTTCTGCAATTCCCTCACTTTCTAATATTATAAAATTCATTTCCCTGCCGATAAGCAATAGTAGTATTAGAAATTAGAAGTACAATCTATCTGAATCAAGGATAACCACGAGCTTCTCCAGCAGAAAAGTTAAAAGGCAGCCATGTACTTCAGAATTCATCCTGATGGAGTCACAAGCTAATTCAAGAAGTTCAAGATAGAGAGAGGTGAAGAGCGATGAACCAATAAACAATACCAAGAAGATGCACTAAACACTGTTCTAAATACATAATAGATCATGCACTTATCAAACACGTCGAAGATTACAATCTACAGTGGTTAGAAATGAAGCATCATCAACATGATCGCTTTGTCATTGTAGTACGTGCTACCAAATTTCTAGTGCTAGAATTAAGTATTTTGTTATAAATGCACCTAAAATTTCTGTATGCTTCTGATCAAAACAGAAGTTTCTGTATGCTTAACATATGATGAAGAAGGGAATTAGTATACCGTATTTTTTGAAACCTGTGGACAATTTGACCCATCAGCCAATCTTCAAGAGAACAAATTGCAAACCAATGATTGAAATTCATCTCATTTATACAAAACATGACACGAGAGAGACTGAAAAATTTTTATTCCTTCTTTCGGTTTTCTTTATACCAAAACAAACATTATCACCTCTGACACTGCTAGATTTGAACCAAAATCTCAAAAGAAACATTGGCCTATAACTACTATTTTACTTGAATCCTATGCTTGCTAAATATGTGCTATGCAACCACCATTGGAAGGCCAACAAGATGCATTGTAAAAGATAGGTTTTTTAACAAACAAACTAAAGATCTCCACTTCCAACTAATCATGGCAACATATTGGTTTAGCATCAGAATAAAATTACACTGGATGCATACTTTCATAAATCAAGAAAAGCATAAACCATTGACGGATCCTAGTACTTGTCAAAGATCATATTTTTAAAAGATAACTCACAGCTAGCAACCAATAAAGGAAAGAAAAGGAAAACAAAATAAAACAGAATTATTTTATATATAAGAAAACAATAAATGGTGCTTAGTGGATACTCATGAGGCTTAACTGAAAGAGCCCAAAAATGGTAAATTTACCAGCAAATCAAACATTTAAATATATATTGAAGGATTCCCCCCATTGTTACCCACTTTGTTTCCGGTCCATTTCCTATTCATAAGTTACCCACAAAAAAAAAAAAAAAAAACTTGAATTAAAAACCAAAAAAACAGCCAAATGAACCAAAACCCAGTTCAAATATGCAACCAAAAATCAAAGTCATAAAATAAAAAACTGACAAATAATTCATAGATGGAAAAAAAAAATCAAGAAGAGCAATACCCAGATGAAAATCCAAGCTCAACGGCTCAAATCAATCAACAAAACTTACCAAGATGGAAAATTTTATCAGGCCATCCAGAAGTCTTAGCTGACGAAATAACGGTAACAACCAGACCAAACCCAAGTTGCAATTGCATTGGAAGATTCAATTCAATCACACTTTTTAAGCCCCACTATAATAATTGAATCATTTCAGACAAGAAAGAAAGAAAGGGGTAATCCTGGAGGAAAGGCCGCTAAAGTTGGCCCCGCAAATTACGTGTCCTAAAAACCTGAACAAGCGCCAAAGATTGGAGATTTGGATCTCTTCTCTACTCACATGCTGACATCAAAGCATACACCTTGCACTTAGACCAATCATACTAAGTTGTCCCAATGCTGAGTTGGATTATGAAATGACCATTTTTAAAAATTAAAAAAAACAAGAAAAATAATTTTTTCTAATAAAATATTGTATCAGATAAATAGATTGTCCGTTTACTTAAAACAAAACAAGCTATACGTTGAATTTGATTTGATTTTTTTAAATAAAATATAAAATTAGGAATTTTTAAAGTTTAATTTAAATTTAAATCTAATTTTTAGATAATTTGATAAAATTAAATTTTATCAATTTGATTAAATTAATCGATTTTTAAAATTTATCATTTATATATTATTTAAATATAATTTTTAATATATTTAAATAGATTTAGATATAAAATAATTAATTTTATTTTATAAAAATTTAAAATATATAATATAATTTGATTCAATTCAATTCAATTCATTTTTTTATTTTTAATTTTTTAATCTAAAATCTGATTTAAATCTAATATATACATTTAATATTTAAATTTAATTTGATTCAAATAAAAATATATTACAAAATAAACCAAAAACTATAATTTCAAATTATTTTTTTATTTATTTTTTTTCTCACCTCTATACTGTAGTAATGCAATCAAGATGGTCGGGTACCATTGTTCACAATTTGATGTTAACAAATTGTTTGATTTAGCTAACCTCGGAGATTTTCTATTTGAAAGTGACATATGCTAGCACTTCAACCAATTTGATTTTATATAAACCATATTTTAAAAAATAGAAAATAAATATATGGAGGCTTTAGAGTAACACGATGTAATACAAAGTCAAATACAAGATTTTGATTGTTGTATTGCTTGACATTAATGTCATATTTGATACTGTAATGTGATGTTAATATTAAAGTTTATTAATATTGTAATTTAATTTTATTATTATTTTAAAAATTGAAATTAAAAATATAATAACAAAGCTTGACATTTGCATTAACTGAATATTTAATGAAATATTCAAATTTTGTTATTTTTGTTCAAAAATTAACAAAAATAAAATTTAAGAATTAGTCTTCTCACTCTTAGTTAAAGTATATTATAATTTGCTAACAACTTTTGTAGATTTTCCTTTCATAAAAGAATTTTAAAATAGACAATGTATATAATTAAATGGAAGAATTCTGCATATAAAATTTTGTTATTGAACTAGTTCTGTCAATGAGCCTTTAAAATAAGATTTTTCAAACTCAAATCTAGTTCACCCATCCAAAAAATTATTTTTTATAAATTTTTTGTTTAATTTGAATTTAAAATAATATTTAAAATTTTTAAATTTTTAATATCAAAATATTTTTTAATAATCATAAATTAAATGTGTTTTAATAAATAGGTCCGACCAAATCTTAATAAAACTTTAAAAATATCATCTAAATATAATCTGATTCAATTTTTTAGTTGAACGATGAAAAATTCTAAACTTCGTTTAATATAATATATATATATATATTTTAAAATCGATCCAAACAAATTTATTTATGTCAGTCTAATGAATTTATCTACTCATAATTTCTCAACAAATTTAAACTCAAGATAACCAAGAAAAAATAAATTCTCTTAGGGCTTGAACCAAAGAAAGAATACCTCCATATTAAACCAGCGAATGTATGAATGAATGAACATATCAAAGTGTATTGGGATTTGACCGTCTTGGATTTATAATAGGTAACTAGCAATATATATTAGTTCTATTTAGGCTTGTTTCTCAATCAATTATGGTAACCATTGTTTCTTCATATTTTCCTGAAATTCCATCTTCCAACTCTACAAAATCTTGTTATCTTCTTTAATTGTTGAAGGAATAGAGATGTCCCCGGCAGATTCTTTGTTGAAGATGCTCATTTTCTTGATTCTTCAAGCACTGGTTTATTTCATCCTTTCTAAGTCATCTCATATTTTCTCCAACAACAACATGAGATCCTTCAGCTTCAAACCTGATTGTTCTTTAAACATTCGTCGAATCCTGGCTTCCATCTTTGATTCACCACAAGGTGTTGAGCCATCAACATCATCAAGGATACCCTAAGAATACTGATTCTCATGTTATAGATAGTACTTGGAATTTGTTAGCCATTTGTAGTTTATGTAAAACGAATTTTTTTGATTCGTTGGATGTTGTAGACTTGTAGTATGAAAGAAATCTGTAATTTATTGTTTTGAATTATTTTTTGGTTCCACTGCAAATGATTTCTGCAATCAAACACATTAAATACCATTTCCATGTAATTGGCTAATAACATGTAACTATCTATAAGAAGTATCAAATCATTTTTCTTGGGGCCTTTAGGGTGCAAGATCTCCGATACCAAGCTTGCAGCTGCAGGAGCACTTTGGAAGGGCTATGGCACCCTCTTTGACCACCCACGGATGCTCGGCAACAATGTCCAAGCTTATTCGTAGAGTAGGGTCTGCGGATCAGAAACAAAGGGAGAAGCTTTTCAAGTCAAAAAATTCGATCAGTGAAATTTTAAATTGTCCTATTTTTGGGACATTTCAAAGAAGAACATATAGAAATAAAGATGACCTTTGCATAGAAGGCCTTGGAGCAAATCCTTGAGCCCGGTATCTAGTTCCTCTGGGAGCAATAAAGTACAGTTTACAATCTGCAGCAATGGCCAAAAGGAAGGAATTACTGCAAGATAAATTTGCAGGAACATAGTGGAGAAAGATATTTACCTTGTTATAAGTCTCAGGTAGGCAATCAGCAAGAAAAGGATAGCAGCCTACCACCATGTAATAGAGGGTGACACCTATAGCCCATACATCTGCTGCTTTTCCATGATAAACTGTATCTGTCATCCATTGCCAGGTATGGTTTTTATACTAAAGATAGCAACAATGTCATAAAAATGATGCTTTTGAGTTTTTTGCCAGGCACACGTCTTTCACTAAAATGTATATTGATAACAACATGAACTGAATGAATGTACGTACTCGAGCAACACTCGGGTGGAGTAAAAGCAGGAGTTCCAGGGCATCTCCAGAGCTCATCATTGTCATCCTACAAAAATGATAGCTTGTTTAGATGAATAAATCTCTTTGTAGATACAAACAAAATCATTTCACAGTGTATGCTGATTGAACAATGTTCTTGGTGTGTAAAAATGGCTTTTCTGTTCATAATATGAACTTATAAGATTATCTGAGGATTATATTATAGCTTTCAATTCTGAATTAATCACTTTCAGTCGTGAAGGGCTGTATTAGTTGTACTTTAAGGGGGTGTGATCAATATCTTCCAATCTCAAAATGAGCATCTAACTTACCTCAAAAGCCTGGCTCACACTAAAATCACCAATTTTCACCCTTCCACTTTTTGTGAGCAAAAGATTTTCAGGCTTTATATCACCATGGACAATATTCTGTCACGAGCAATGAAAGTAGATTTTAGTTGAAGACAGCTGAAGTCATATAGTTGTAATAGAAGACATTTAAAGTTAAATATTATATAATCAATATATAATCAATACATTGGCATTGTTTATAACTTACCTTTTGACAGAACTTGAACATATAAAAGTACCTGAAAGTTCTAATGACAAGAACCTAAGACAGATAACCAGGTTGTCATATATGGTGAGAGTGCATCTCTGAGACCATGTTTTTAAAAATATAAGTCACCACTGGCATTAAATTTTAGTACTTTTTTCCTTTTTCATTTATGGAAATGTTTTAAAATTATATTGCCTGGTTGATCAAGAAAAAAGATTAAAAAAAAAAAAAAAAACTTACATGACTATGCAAGTACGTGAGACCAGCAATTATATCTTTGAAGTATCTCCTTGCAGTTGTCTCATCAATGTGTCCTTGTATTTCAGAAAGGTTTCTTATACCATTGCCTTCCACATACTCAAGAACTGCAAATTTACAAATGTGCATTTATATATATATATATATATATATATATATATATATATATCAAGAATGAAAAACATCCAACTAAGAATCCCAACTATGCTGCACTATGCACTTTTTTTCAGTTCTTTTCAGTAAAATCTGGAATGAAACCGATGTCGATACCCATATAGAGATAATCACAACTTTGGTCATCTATTACTTCAACAAGGTTGACTATATTTGGATGATCCAACATCTTCATTATTGAAACCTGTAAAAGGATTACTTCCATAAGGAGCAAGTTCAAAATGAAGCCACCAATGAATATTGCAGAAGAAAACAGTTCATTCCAGAACAGCTTGACAGATTCAGGAGGTCAGTTATATCATGATTCAAATTCAGAAGGGTTCAGTTAGCCAATATTTACTTCAATGGGATACAGAATCTTCAACTTAACCAATATCGAATCATATCAGTAGTAAATTGCACTTTGCTGAGCAGGTAATTGTGTTCCTACCTTGTTTTTGCATGTAAAAAGGCATCTTACCTCTCTGAGAACATTGGTCATTGCTGTTTCTGACTGTGTCATGCGCACCTTGCGCAATCTAGACTTGCATGTTTTCTGCAATAACAATTAACAATAAATTACTGATATCAACATTTTATGGAACTAATTATAAGAGAATTACCTAACAAAAGGCAATCTATTTTTGACATCAGCATGTTCAAGTTATCGAAAACGAAATTCAATTTACCACATCAAGCCTTGAAAGGCTGGCAAATAAAACACAAACTCTTTTGTGTCACCTAAAGCAACTGATCCCCACACCATATTGCAAAGCCATGGTGCTGGAACCTGGCCACATCAGATCAATATCTTATGAGTAGATTGAAGAAAGAAAAAGCCAGCTACCTTGATAGCATATGGGGTTCCATCATTTTTGTTTCGATACAATACCTGCATGTACCGAGTTGGCAAAGTGATTATCACTGCTGATTCAAAAAGCGTCAAAACCCATGTCAAAAACCATTAATGCATACCACTTTTCCATAACTTCCCTGACTAATCTTTTGCTCTTTTACAAAGTCATTGATCATCTTCTGCCCATTCACATGCTACATTTCAAAACATAGAATATGAGAATCCAAACCTAACTTTGCTACAATTGGCTAAAATACAAAGACCTTAAAGAAAAGGAATGTCCAAAAATGAACCAACCAAAAAGTTATGCATAAGTACCAAAAATGTTGCTGTTATCTACGGATGTCCTTTTAAGCATCTCTAAAATAGTGAACCTAGAGCTTGAATCAATCGATTCATAAAATCACTTTTAAGAGGAAGTATCCAACATATCAAAGTTTCGAATCCTAATACTTGCAATCTTTTCCTCATCCCTAGAGTACGGCACCATTTGTACCAAAAGAAATAATAGTATGACAACGCTAAATACCATGGTGTTGTAGGCAAATTTGAAGATTTCTATATAACTATGAATAAAAGAAAATTAATCTTACATCCACAGCTAAATTATCAGAACTATTGACAGGGAAAAATAAAAGAGGGAAGATCTTCCAAATAATTACCTTGGAAATTTTGATGCAAGTAGTTTCTTTTACTGGAATCTTCTTACAAGTTTGATTCTTCCCTGGCATGTATGGAATTGGATCCTTTTTGTCTGCACCAGCAAATAAACTTCTAGACCATACATGTTCATTGGAAATATCATCTGCTGCATTGCGTTGAACACCATTGTCCAACTGTTCTAGAAAGATGCAATTGGATGTGGGAGTGATCTGTAACATAGGCTTCTCCGGATTCCGGCAGACCGTATCGATGTTCATATTAATCATTATACTTGACAGAATAACCAGTTAGATACAGGTTAGCAGAAAACTCGTCTATTAAGCTTAAAAAATGGTCACTTTCAAACTTTTGTATCAGAGTCCAGAGAAACAATGATGTTAGATGAACCAACTCTTTAATGAGATTGGCATCAGCAACCTAAAAAAAATGACAGAAACCAACCACAGGTTTACAAGAAAAAAAAAATGGAGGGATGGGGGAAAGTGAGGACCTTACAATCTAACTATGAAGATAATTTTTATATACTCCTTTTCATTTTTTTTTTTCTGAGAAAACAAAGTTGAGACTAATCAGAAGTTGGTAGCAATATATACTAATAAAACCAGATATATATTGTCAGGATCCCCTTACGAGGAACCATATAAAAAGCTCATAAATCAAAGCTCAAGTTTACAAACAGTCAAAGGCTTTAGAAACCATACATTCAACCTTGTTAATCGAGTGTTGACTGGTAGCTCAACAGCTTATAAACTTATTTTCAGTCTTGACTTTAACAGTTTCTTGGGAGAAAAGATATTGGGACCATACTTAAAAATTAGATATAATAATTTCTGTATTCATGCCCTGTCTATTTATATTAAATATGTATAAAATATAAAAAATTATTATAATATAATTTATATTAAATATGTTAAATATGAAATATATTTTTTATTTTTATCAAAATAATTTTTATTAATTTTAAACCATATCTTTTTTGTTTTTATTTTTTTTTATAACAAGTCGTACCATGTATAAAATTAGTAGGTCTAAACTTCCCCAGCAAATTAATTAGTTTACTTTTTGTAGAGCCGTTTCTTTCAAGAAATAATTTTCGTGCTTCTCTCTTAATAATTATCAGAATCTATCTTCATAAGGAAGCAAAAGTCTACGGCCCATTAAAAAAAAAAAACCGAATTTAGAAGCAATTAATGTATGTGGACGAGAAGATTTTATAGAAAAAGAAAATATCCATCTATCTGTTTCTTCTACCTACATTAAAGCAGATTTTTCTAGTAACTCGAAAAAGAAAGAAGAAAATCTCAGAATCATAGATAAGTTGCAAGGGTCCAAATTTTCTTTTTCTTTTTTTTTTTTTCATATAGGAATAAAATAATTAAACCTAAACAAATATTTTTTCATACAATACATTTAGGTGATATTTGAAACATAAGATGATAGATAAGATAAGATCATAATTATTTTATATTAATTTAGTTTGTATCTAAAAAAAATATTAGATTACAAGAAAAATTAATCATCTTTTTAGTATAAAATGATTCAATTCTTTTAAAATAAAGAGGATTATTTTTAATCTATTAGATTGAATTTATATGTCTTATTATACCATTAAAAATTACATTAATAATTGAAATTATATAAATTTTGAAGAAAAATAATTTTGACCAACAAATAAATTCTCATATTCTAATACTTGTACACATCAAACATAAGATATGATGATATTATTTAATCGATCATATTCATAATATCATCTTATTTTATCCTATCATAATTTTATTTACAAAATATATCATAATTATCTTATATTATATTATGTTTGTATCTAAATAAAATAGCAAAATTACAAAAAAAATTAATTATCCTCTTTCTATAGGATGATTAATTTAATCCTCTTAAAGTAAAGAGAATTATTTTTAATTCATAGAATTAAACTTACATATCTTATTATACTCTTAAAAATTACATTAATAATTTAAATTATATAAACTTTGAAAAAAAATAATTTTGATTAATAAATAAATTATCTTATTCTAATTATTGCACACATGAAATACAAGATATAATGATATTACTTAATCTAATTTTATTTATAATATTATCTTATCATATCCTATCATAATTTTATACACGAAACACCTCTTTTAAAATTTTATTAGTAAATTTTAAATTTGATTAGATTTAGCAATATGAAATGTGGATTTCATTTTAATTTGATTTAAGATTGTATAATATTTTTCTTGTAGAAATTAACTTAAAAAAGTTAACGATAGCAGTTAGTGCATGATTTGGATCAAGTCGTACTTGATTAACATTATTTTTTATTACGGTAGAGAAAAAAAAAAAAAAAAAGAGTAAAGAAGTAAATAAAAATGAGTAAAAAATTTAAGATAAGACACATGTGTCTTAATCTTATTTTTTATAATTAATTCGTGATCTTTGTGATACACAGATTTTTTTTTATGTATATAATTATACATATAAATATATAGTATTTTTAATAAAAAATATAAATTTTATATTTATGCTAATTTATTACTCATACGAAGCATTATATATATAATTATATACACAAATGATATTCTTAATAAAATACAAATTTTGCATATACATACATCCAAGTAATATCTAATAAAATAAAATACAAATTTTGAATATACAATCTAATAAAATAAATTTGTTGGACAAGTTCATAGCAAATATCTAGCATAATTAAATGGAAAAAAGGATAAATTGAATCTAAATATAAAACTGAATGAAAGCTTACTAAACAAATAAAAGGAGTAATTAAAAAAAAAAAAAAAGGAAAGATGAAATCAGGAAGAAATAGTGAAGTGTATATCTTCAAACCCACATTCTAATTTTTAGATCATTTAGTAGATTTTTATTTATGGTGGTCAAAATAAAAGCAAAAGGTAAGAATATTGAATATATAAAAGGGAATAAATATAATTAATTTAAGCTAAATAATTTTTTAAATATAAAATTATATAAAATCATATTAAAAAGTGAAACTCTTTCAAAAAATAGATTTCTTAAAAAGAATAATTGTTCCACCAATAAAAAACTTTATATCCAAAAAGATTACAAAAATACAAAACCTAAAAGCAGTTAAGTCACTTTGCAAATTTTTTACAACTAGACAAAATAATAAATCTGTATATATCAAACACAAAAGAAAATAAAAAACTTTCTAAGTAGACACACTCCTAAGAAAAAATTATGGAGAGTATACAAAAATAAAACTTTGCCCTAATTGTCCTCAAGTCTTTAGCCTAATTGTTAAAGGCGCTTAAGAGGATATCAAGAGCCTGATTATGAACTCAGTCTCTCCCTTTTCCGTTTACTTGTACTAGGGTTTTGCTTTTCTAATGTAACAAAAAAAAAAAAAACTTTGCTCTAATGCATTATATAATTCCAAAATACCATGCTTATATATATAAGAGGTTGAAAATAATTACGGATAATAATTTAAAATTTTTTAATGGTTAATTGACTAAAGATTATATATGTCATTAATAAGAATCAAATTAAGGTAATAGCAATATCAAATTTAGAGTAATTTATGCTTAGAAATGATCAATTAAGTGACAGTAAAACTTTCTCCTAATATTATTTTTTAAATAAATGAGAGTTAATCACATTTGTATTGTTCCTTTTTTCAAATATATTACTAATAAGATTTGAGCATGATTTTATGGTAGAGAATTAATAATAAAATACATTTTGATTTGAAATTAAATTAAATGGAATTGAAATTTTAATTGAAACCAAATCAAATCAAATTTATTAATTAGAGAATACGTGACACTTGTCCAAAACATTTCACATATCAAAAAAATTAGATTGCCTACATAGGACAATTACCTTTTTTTAAAAATAAGTTTTGATTTTTATATATTTATGTAAGATAAGATTTATGCTTAACAATTAGAATAATCAAGTATAATGTGTATTCAATGTGCTTGTTAGAAATAAAAAGATAGATTTTAAAATTAGTCTAATAATGATAATAAAATTAATTTGATTTGATATACAAAAATTAATTTTAATTGATTTTATCATCTCTTAATCATTTTAAAATCAATATATTAAACATATATACATATATAGCTTAAAAGGTGGAGCCAATAGGTTATATTTTAAAATTTTGGAAAATGTATAATTTTTAATAAATATAATTGAAGAGTTGAATATTTATAATGAAAGAAAGAAATAAAATTATTTATTTATTAATAATGGCAATCAAAATTTTAATACTTTTCATATAAATTTATGAGACTGATTTAAGGTAAATAATAAAAAATAAATATAGTTAATTTAATTTTTTAAATTATTTTTTAAAATTAAAAATGTATCAAATAATACAAAATATATTTATTAGAGGACACATAACATTTTTTAAGACCTTTCACTTGTCAATAATATAAACCATTCATATTGGACATTTACCTTTTTAGCCAAAGGCTTTGGCTTTTATACATTTATATATAAAAGATATATAGAAGCCAAAGTTTACAAATATCAAAATATCTTAAATAAATATTTTGACTAAATTAATTACAATTATTTACTTCTAAATAACCAATTAACATATCAAATTACCTTTAATAAGTTACTATTTAGATTTCCTTAAATCACTCTTAATTAAATTTAATTTTTAATTAGATTAATTAGACAATTCATTCTCTTTTCTTTAATTTTTTTCTACAAAGAAAGAGTTTATTTTTTTTTCCAATTTCAATTATAAATAAAGGCATTTTCTAATTTACACCACTATTTTTAGCACCTAAACATTATATATATCTAGCCATTACATCATAGATGTTAGCATTTTATTTAGTTGAAAAGTTAGAAAAAATTGTAAGGTCGAATATCTTTCTTTAAAATCCAATATAATTATAATTAAAATAATGAAAATTTGAAATTTGAAAATTCAATTTTCACCTAAAATCATTGACATATGTTGGCCCTTTACATAAATAGGTTTTTTTAAGGATTTAACTTAAATAGCTTACACTGCATATTAATACCATTAGACGAAGGTGATAACCATGACTTTTAACCTTGCGGCTTCCCCTTTTATTTTCTATTTTGTTTGCACCTTTTTTTTTAAACATGATTCAAAATTTTGTTTCCTTAATATGTATAAGATAATTGAATTTTATTTGATGTTGGAATAATTAGAACTTAAAAATTGTTAATCACATGCAAGCTAATTAGTAGAAGCCATTCATATTTGTTTGGACATTCCTTGTGTACCATATCTTACTTTCTTCATAGCAATGATCCTTCCTTATGGTATTTGAGACCGGATATATTTTTAGCAACAATTTGTTACTAATTAAAAAAGTTAGTAAAATTTTGTATTCAATATTAATCACATATCATAAACACAGATATACATTTGCACGTAAAAATTATAAATTACTTCATTAAAATGTAAACCTTGTGGTATTTGAGACCGGATATATTTTTAGCAACAATTTGTTACTAATATTAGAAAAGTTAGTAAAACTTTGTATTCAATACTAATCACATATCATATACATAGATATACATTTGCACGTAAAAATTATAAATTACTTCATTAAAATGTAAACTAAAAATTAAATATAAAGATAAAATAAAGCAAGTCATTCTATATTATATATGAAATGTTTAAATTAATTTTTAAGGCATATCAACGTATTTGTATATTATACTAATATTATTGTTTCAAAAACTAAAACCGAATTAGGGTTTTTTTTTTTTTGCTAAAAATGAATTTTAATATTGAAAAATAACAAAAGAAATCACACTTTGAAACAAAGAGAAATAAAACAAATAGAAACAAAAAAACAAATGGAACAAATAAAAAAAAAAAAAAGAGAGAAAATGAACATAACATAATTATAAAACAAACATACAATATTATTATCTCCTATAGACAAAAACGTATTCTTATTTATTTATAATGTTAAAGTTGGTATGAAAAATTAAAAATAAAAATTAATTGAAAGTGATTTAAGATAAATAACAATTAACTTTGATTACACATTGAATTAAATTTATTTATATAAGGTAAAAGTAATAAATATTTAAAAATGAATAAATGCAATAATTTAAATGAAATAAATTTATTTTTTTTACATTAAAAATGAATCAAATCAAATTAAGTATATTGATTTCTTAAAATTAAAAATGTATCCAATTAAATACAATAAAATATATTTATTAAATGATATATGACGTTTATTTATAATTATATACGTATCAAGAAATAAAACAGGAGTTTTTTTTTTTTAACAAAAGCTTTGACTTTCATGTATATTTATATTTATATAAGATGAATTAGTACTGATGTGATCAATTAATAATTAATTTATATATTATCATGATCAATTAACTTACCTAATAATAATTAAGTGTTGGACTAATTAAATTGATCATCAACTTGATAATCAGTGAGCACTAACAAACGATAAACAAATTGACTAAGCGATCAGAATATAACATCAAAAGAGGTTCTGACAAGTAGGATTTTTTAGCCTCGGCCTGTAAAGACTATATAAATGTAACATACATCCAAACGAGGCCTTAGTATGTCAATTTTTAGAGTCTATGTATATTTATGCAATTCCAACATAGGATTTAGTTCTGGAATTTGTATCATTTACTTTACTATATTTTTTTTTTTTAGATAAAAATTATTAGGATTGAAACCCTATTTTTAGAAAGCCATAATAAAACAAATGTAAAAAAAAAAAATTTTTTTTTGAACAAAACACAAGATATATAATGATTCATGTCTTTACTTTTTTAGTAAAAATAATCAAAATCAAAGTAGCAATTAGATTAAACACAACTTAACGAAAATTCCATTTATAAATAGAGATTAATATAAATATATGCATTTCTTTCTTTTTCTTTTTTTATTTTTTTAAATTATATATTTTTTAATATTTAAAGTTTTTAACTTTTATATTTTAAAATTATTTTTCATATTTTTTAATTTTTGATATTGTAAAACTAAAATCAAACTCAAACTAATAATTTGGACGAAGAGAGTATATAATTACACTTACATGAAACAAATTGCATAATTTATAAAAAATTATTTTAATATATTTATTTTTTTATTTTGGTTTTATTTTGTGGAAAATTATCAAAATTATTAAATTTATCATTATTCTACAAAATGTGAATATATTTTTATTTAAAATTAAGATATGAAAAAAGTGGATATGTTAAAATATTGAAAATTATTTAAATAAAAAATTGAACTCCAAGATAACAAAAAGGAGAAGAGTAACATGAAAAAATTGATTTAAGGGTTGGATTATCCGTTCAAATTTAAAAATTTGATTAAGTTTTAAAAAGATCTGATCAAAAAATTAAAATCCATTAATGAGTTTAAATATAATTTTTAGGTTTATTTAAATTTTAGATCAAATTTGAATAAAAAAAATTAAAATTAAAATCCAATCTAATTTGGTCTGAATAAATTTTAAATAATTAAAATATTATAATTATATAAGTATATATATATTTTTTATATTTTATTTTCTTTAAAAAGTTTTTTATTAATTTTTTATTATATAAATAAAATTTAATGAGTGAATTTAAAATTTATTTTTTCATTTAAATCAATTTAAAAATAATTTTGAAATCCGCAATATATCAAATAAACATATAAATTATTCATATCAACTACAAATTCGGTCCGCCCGATCAGACCCGACCCTTCAACACCGGAGACGAGTCTAGTGACAAAGTCGCATAACCCATTTTGTCTGTCCTTTTAGTTTACTCCGTAGGTTTTGGCTGCGACCTTTTTTTTTTTTTTACGCCACCAACTCTTTCGCCGGCGGCGATCAGTTGGCTGCTTCTCTTCCGCCGGTTAGGTTGATAAATTATTATTTTTTTCACTTGCGTTTTTGGTCCAATGTTTATTTGAAGTTTATTGAGTAATAATGAAGAAAATAAAATTACATGAAAACAAATAAAAAAGTAAAAGAAAATTCAATTTAAGGCATCCAAGTTTACTTTTTTCTTTTGTTTTGCAGGTGAATTTAGCATAGCTGATAGTACCCATTTCCACAATGAAGTTTGTAAGTCTCTCGCTTTCCTTCTCTGTTGCTTAGTAGAATCATTCATTTTGTTCTCAAACAATTTTTTTTTTTTTAATTCTTCAACATTATTATTTGGTGTTGTATTCAAGGGCACTTTTTATTTGTTTAAAGTAACAAGGAAATGGTACTTAAAGTTCAGCATTTTTAGTTAAATGAATGTGTTTAAACTTCATTATTGGTGTGTTTGTGTTCGTTGAATTCTGGTTTAGGGGAATTCATTGAGTTTGTGCTTTTGCAGACATGCCTTAGTAAAGGTGGTGGTTTCCATTTCTCACCATGTCATATGCTCAATGTATCTGGGTTTAGGATCTTACTTGATTGCCCCTTGGACCTTTCATCTCTTGCTCTTTTCTCTCCTGTTCCAGTTGCTCATCAGGCCCATGAATCTTTGGATACAGACTCAGTTATTAGGAAAAAGCAGAAGATTGAAAAAACTCTTGATGCAAATGATTTAGTGCATGCAGAACCTTGGTATAAAACTGTAAAAAATTTGCACCTATGGGATGCTTCCTTTATAGATGTTGTTTTGATCTCAAGTCCTATGGGCATGCTTGGCTTGCCATTTCTTACTCGAACCAGGGACTTTTCTGCAAAGGTAACTACAGTTTGGGAATTGTTTCATTTTAAAAAACAAGACTATTAAGTGTTGGTGTTTGTTAGCCTTAGCTGAAATTTGTTTCTGTGGTCTTCCTTTTAACCTTGTTAGATATACGTGACTGAAGCATCAGCGAGAATAGGACAGCTTTTAATGGAGGATCTTGTTTCAATGCATATGGAATTAAGGCAATTTTATGGACCTGAAGATTCATGTTTCCCTCAATGGATGAGGTGGGAAGAGCTTGAAGTTCTTCCATCCGAACTGAGGAAAATAGCATTAGGCAAAGATTGTGAGGAGTTAGGAGCTTGGATGCCTTTGTACAGGTAATTATCATTCCTTAGGTCATATGTTTGTGTTTATCTCTAGATTAATTTGGCACACCTTTTGATTGCAAGGCTTATACAAGTATTATGTTAGTCTTCAGCCATCAATTCTGATTGGTCATGGTAGAATTGAGATCCTTTTCATAACAAATACGGTTGGTGAATTTGTAACTAAAACTGCTTTTAGAATGCTAACTAAGCCTTTAATTTTTTGTGACAACCAACTGATATTGCATCTATTAAACGTGTTTCTTTCCAGATTTTCCCCTTTATAGCTTATTGAATGTAGAAGTCGATAAATAAGAAATTAATGGAGGGTGCTTTTCAGTGCAGTTGATGTTAAGGATTGCATGAGGAAGGTACAGACACTAAAATATGCAGAAGAAGCTTGCTACAATGGAACTTTGATCGTAAAAGCTTTCAGCTCTGGCTTGGAAATAGGGACCTGTAATTGGACAATAAATGGTCCGAAAAAAAATATAGCTTATATTTCAAGCTCTATCTTTGTTTCTATGCATGCAATGGATTTTGATTTTCTTGGTCTTCGCGGGAATGATTTGATAATATATTCAGATTTCTCATCCCTAGATAAAAATATGGAGAATGATGATACTTACTTTGATCCTGTTACTTCATCAAGTGGGAGGTAATTCTGCTTCTAGTTAATGATAAATTAAGTTAACCTTTGCTGGGATGCCTTTTTCTTTTAGCAAATACTATATATGTTTTTTAGATTGCTAGTATGGTAGAGAACTGAAATTCTATGCATCATTGTAGGGATGATGTCAGCAATTTGGAAGAGATGGCTGCATCCTTGCTTAAGGATGATGAAAGCGCGGAGGAAATAGAGAAGCTAGTTTTTATATGTGCCTGTGCCCTTGATTCTGTTAGAGTAGGTGGATCTGTTCTTGTTCCGATTGATCGACTTGGAGTTGTTCTGTGCCTTTTGGAGCAAATGTCACTTTTGTTGGAGTCTTCATCTCTAAAGGTATTGCATTTCTTTTTCTTTCTATTGGGTTCGTGAGTGTAGCTACTCATTTCCACACAGGCATCAGAAGACATATAAATGCAGAGACTTAAGTAGAAAGGCATTTTAGAGACTAAATCTATTGTAAGGCCACAACCTTATTGCTTAAGTTTTCTGATTGAGCAGTTCTCTAATTGGAGAAAAATTTAAAGATTTTTTAACTTGTATATTTGCACCAAGTCATATGTCTTTGCTAACAGTCATATGCTATATACCTGTGGTGCAGGTTCCCATATACATTATATCTTCTGTAGCAGAAGAATTATTGGCGTTTACCAACATAATACCAGAGTGGGTTTGCAAGCAGCGGCAAGAGAAGGTACATCTTCATTGGCTTATTGTCTCAATATAAATATAAGACCTTTTTGATTTCTGTTTTTGTTGGTTTGACAGCTTTTTTCTGGTGAGCCATTATTTGCACATGTCAAGCTCATAAAAGAGAGGAAAATTCATGTTTTTCCTGCAGTTCATTCACCAGAATTATTGTAAGATATGCCCTTTTGTTTCTTTTGCTCCTGCTCTTTCCTTTACCCCTATAAATGGAGAATGTTAACTGTGGCAAGCTCTTTTCTGTTCATTTTTCATGTGCCTTTGAAAAAAAAATTTTAGTTGGTGTAATATGTATTTCTACCTTCTGCTCCCTTATTTTTGATTGAGCACTTTCCTCTTTGTTCTATTAACCTATTTTAATTTTTCCTGTTACAACTCCTTAAGTAATGATTTAAACAGAATTCAAACTTTTTGTGAGAGAAAGAAAGGAATCAAAATTTGGAAGCAGATAAATATTAATTTGTTAAATTATTTAAAATTTACTGATTTTAAGTAGAGAAATCTAGGCAGTGGTGGATGGTAACTCAGTGCTTTGCCTATTTAGCATTCTAAAATGCTTTCTAAAATGCTTTTGAAGTTCATATAGTAGAAGAAAATTTGCAAATTGCTCCATGTTTTAACTCAACACTGGTGTAGTATATTACTTAGCTTATTATAATGTTTCATAAGTGATATGGTGAACAATTTTGCCCAAAGTGCTACAACGCTGGCTTAGATATCACGTTTCTTGTCATTCATCAAAAAGTTAAAATAAAAGGTTCATGTTTATTTGTCTTTACATTCATGAGTTGTGAGACAATATTGTTGTCATATCTTTTACCAAAAGGCAATGCATCTTTTGTTGCCCACTCCAGATTCTAGTAGTGTCAATTAGATACCATTCTGAAGGAAAGGTTTATGAGGGAAGAAAAATGAAACTTATTGATAAAGCATTAAAATGGCTTTAGAACTTAGAAATCAGTTTGGTATGGTTGAGGACTTCTACGGTAATCATGTATCATATATTTACTATGAAATGCTAACAATATGTACATAGAACCAATTGGCAGGAACCTTGTGTTGTATTCTGTCCTAACTGGAGTTTGCGGCTCGGTCCAGTTGTTCATTTGCTTCGGCATTGGTGCTCAGATCCGAACTCTTTACTTGTCCTTGAGGTGCTTCTTTGCATCTATGCTTTATCCAAGCATCTTATTATTGGTTTATGGCCATATACTAAACTGAATATGATCTAATTATGAATGCTTTTTAGCAATGGAATAACTTTATGTGAATTTTACAGAGTGGTGTGGATGCTGACATAGCTCTCTTGCCTTTCAAGCCAATGGCAATGAAGGTTCTTCAATGCTCCTTTCTGTCTGGATTAAGGTATGTTTTGAGACTCTCTCTCACCCTCTCAAAAAGACACCCACATGCAAATAGATTGCATGAAGAACTTTAGAGGAAAGCAGTTTAAAGCATCTGTATTGCATACCGCTTTTGGGTAGAGAAGTCAAATTTTATGTTCAATTGAGGGTTTGACTTTGCAAAAAGGCATTGTAGTGGGCACTATTCTCTTATTTTAAGTGAATTAAAATTCTTTGAATCTATGCAATATTGTCTAAAACTATCTTGGAGTTTACAATATTTCGAGTTGTAAATGACCGAAGTATGAAGCTTGCCCTGATGTCTGATGACATGGATTTTGTCTTATTACTGCTACTTCAAATTGTTTATCTACTGTTGCATTTATGTTTCTCTCTTTTTCCTGCAGTTTGCAGAAAGTTCAACCGTTGCTAAAGATATTGCAGCCAAAATTAGTTCTGGTGATCTATTCTACTTCTGCTGATGTTTGTTTTCCTCTCGATGTATAAGATTTTATTTTTTTAATATCACTTTGTGCTCCTGCTTAAGACAGTTTCCCAAGGATTTGAGTTGCAAGATCCAAATTTCTGAAGCAAACATGATCTTTCTCTTCTCTGAAAATGAAACATTACGTATTCCAAGCTCAAAGGAGAGCACAGATATAGATATTGCAACAGATTTGGCTTCCAAGTTCCGCTGGAAAACATTCAAACAGGAAACAATCACAAGGCTGGAGGGAGAGCTTTTCATGGATCATGGCAAACATCGGTTACTTTCTGGGTTCCAGCCAGCCAACTCCAAGCAACAAAGACCATTAGTGCACTGGGGTTCACCAGATGTAAAAGTGCTTCTGACTGAGTTGTCCAAGATGGGCATTAGTGGAACCATAAAACAAGTCACAGATGATGCTAAATCTGAAGATGATGCTAAATCTGAAAATGCTGCCGCCATTATAGACATCCATGATCCCGAGAAAGCATTGATTGATGTTCGAGAAACTGGTACTGTTATAATTGCTGCTAATGAGAATTTAGCCTCCCATATTGTCAAAGCTGTAGATATTGTTTTGGATGGAATTTAAATGAAATACAAGGTTTTTCTTTTTTTTCTGAAAAAATTCCCATTACAGATCACATCAAAATATCAATACAAATAATCCATGGTCGCGAATTCATACTGTATACATGACAGAATGAATCAGAAGTAGGGTCACCGAGAAGTTTCTGTAATCTCCAGATATATCACCTGTAATTGCGTCATCAAGGTTGGACTTGTTAATTTTGCCACCCCCGAAACTTTTATTGCTGAATAACCAAGAAAATTCTTTTATTGCAGTCATTTTCTTTCCTTAATGAATCAGAAAACAAGGAGAGCCTTAATGTGAAACATACTCTGAGACAGGACTTGTCCTGTATTCAAGTCCGATATGCATACATTTGCTTTAAGGAAATACAAGCTAGAAGAAAAACATAAACTTTAATCATATGAATATAATTTAGGGGAATTCATTCATTCTGATGTGCATACATTTGCTTTAAGGGTTTGCTGCAAAAATTTCAATAGACAATCATTGAAACTTTATGGGAATTTCACATTGATCTTAATTCAATCAACTAAACAACTATGATGGAAAGCACAGTAAGGGACTTGTCATGAAAATAAAAATAGGGAAAGAGAAGAGAAAATACTTTGAAATCACCAGAAAGTTCAGAATTTGGAACATCAATGAGACTTTCATTATAAAGCTGCTAATAAGTTTCTCTGATTTTCTTTCTTTGACTTGCATCTCTGCGTCCTAATATCTCAAGTATCCCCTCCCCATCTGTTCCCAATCCTATAAACAATTTCCCAGTAACATTAAAAACAACAATTTAAGTTATAACAAGACCATAAAATCATCTCAGATTCTCAATGGACCAAAGGAAAATAAAATGAAAAGAATGGAGATATAGATGAAACCTTGAAAAGCTTTCTTGATTTTCTTACGAGTCTTCTTCAGGGGAAGGAATGACATCTACTACTTTAAGTGAACCCATTCCTCCAATCCTAAAACTGGATTCAGTGCTATGTGTTTTTTATTTACTTGCAAAAAGTTTCTTAAAACTCTTCATCTTGTTCACTAAGCCCATAGGATTATTAATAAGATAGGATAATAATTATTTAATATTATATTTGATTTATATATGAAGAAAAGGATAGAATTACATAAAAGATTATCATCTTCTTGATATAAGATGATTCAATTCTTTCAAAGTAAAAATATTTTTGTGAACTTGCATGAAGTTTTGCAATTTATGTTTAGTACCATGGAGTATTGATATTTGCTTCAATCGATAACAACTTTTGTTTTTTTTTTTTCTTTTACAAGGCAACAACTTTTGTTAGTTGTAACTCATAGTTGAATGGAACATTTAATAGTTCTGGAACAATCAGTTTTTTTTTTTTTTTAATTTGAGATTAGTAGGATTTAAATCATAATAATTAAAATTAAGAGCCTAAAACTCTACAAACAAACGACACAATTGTTAACATCCATGAGTTAATTATCATAGAAAGTTTATTATCGATCGAATTTAATTTTGATTATCTATATTTTTTTCTTTTAGGAATTTACTGTTGCAAATTGAACTTAGTTCCCCATATATCTCATAAAAAAATAATATTTTTTTAAACTATGCTTAATAAATCTGAACATATGACTCAATGATTAGTGGTTCAAATTTCTCTTTCGTCGAATTAAACAAAGAAAGAAACAAACAAAACCATGCTTAACAACCAAAAATTTTGCATGCTTTGTTTTCTTCGCAATTTTTATTGCTTTAATTTGGGTTGTGATTATCAAATGAAGCTAATAATTCTGGAAAAAATGATCAAAATGTTCAATTTCTGGTGTTACTGTCCAAAACTCCTTTTGTCTTATAATTTACTGAACATCTTTCTCTGGTGTTGGTATGTCGATGTCTCTCTCTAATTTTATATTTTTTAAGATAATTTACGTAAATATGATAATTTAAAATATAATATAAAAATTATATAAAAAAACACAAATCGACACGGTTTTGGGTTGTTGTATTGTAGTAGATTTTTGTTAGCTTTGGATAAATAAAATTTCAACTTACAAAAAAAAATGTGATATGATCTAAAATTTTAATAAAATTATATATAAATTTAATAAAATAAAAAATATCTTTTATGTTTTTGTGTTTATGAAAATTATGAAACGTAATTTTTATATAAAATACGATTAAAATACATTAATTTTAAATATTTTATATAACATAAATATATAAATTATCAAATCAAGATATATGGTATGTATGAAACGCTTGATAATGTCCACATTGTTGAATTAAACAAGATAAGATTTATTTTTAGCAAAGGAAAGACAAAGATGGATAAGATATCATTTTCATGATGCAAATATAAATTTGTCGTGATATTTCTTTTTGACAGATAGACATTGGTTGAATCAAACTGGATAAACTTTCATTTTTCATATGTATGAAAGCAAATTTGTTCTGGCATGCAACAGAACAGTCCTTGAGGACCCCAAGCAAAAATGAATTAACCAATGTGATATATCAGAAAAATAAGTGAAATTTTGTTAAAAAAAAATTATATGCCCACACACAAACATATATACTTGTGACGTAATTTAAACAATATTTTACATGCCTTATGAATGAAATTAATAAAATTAATCCACATTCCTCCCCACCTTCTTCCATGATTACAAAAGAAATTAGTTTGATAGCAGAAAGAGACTTGGAAAAATATATATATAAAGAAGATCTTCAAAGCTGTTCTAACAAGAGAAGGACAGACAACTAAGGGCCAAGCCAGCGTTGTAGATAAAATATGTTCCTCTCTTCTTTATTGTTGCTAAGTTGCTATCACATTATGAAGGTCCACTCCACCTAAGTTTTGATAAATAATTAATAATTTATTCTATGAATAGAGTTGCATGTTTCATGTGACTAAATCATAAGGTTTCTTCGAGTATCAATGAAAATTATCTAAAAGCATGAAAAAAATTTTATAGAATAAAAGACCTTTTAAATATAACATGCAAATATACTTTTCTTCTCAGTCTTATCAATAACTTTATTGTGGTGAAGTGACTCAAGCAGCTACAAACCACAACATGCCAGGGATGCTCTGACTCGTTCCTTTTGTAATAATGTGCAAAGCACCATGATAATAAACGAGGCAGCTGATTTCCACCAATCATTCTTTTTCATATTAAATTCATAATTAATGGTTAATCCAACTGCTTTTTCCAGAATGGATAAGACTTTCCCTGTTTCTACCAGGTATGCCATACAAGTGGTATGGTATGATCCAAGTCTAGAAATTGTTTGGTATATCCTTTCTACAGTACCTCAGTTGTGTAGCATATATAAATATATATATTATAGAATAATTTATTTCCTGTCTGAAATACACAAATCTTTTTACATATAAATATAGAAAATATGCAATTTTTCCTTTAAAAAAAAAAAAAAAAACTTAGTATTTGAGAGGACAATACGTGAAAGTCTTAGCTGTCAATGCTTCTTCCTGGGACCTAGCTAGCTGGACTGTGATTAAACAGGGCTCCATTCTCAACCAGTAAAGGAGAAGCAAAAATGGACCCACTCTCATCATTGAGAATGACTCAAGAAAAAAAGAGAGATTAATTGAGTGCTGGTTTCACAACACGCTTATTCTACAAGCTCGGGGAAGTTGATGCTCAAATTTGTTTTATTTCTTAGTATCATATTTGTAAGAATATTAATAAAATAAAATGATAATTATCACATATTAAATTTAATTTATATTTAAAAAGAGAAATAAAAATTATAAAAAAAATAATATTTTTTTACATAAAATTATATAATTTTCTCTAGATAAATAAGATTATTTTTAATGTAATAATTAAATTTACATGTTTAATTATATTTTTTAAAATTATATTAATAATTTAAATTTAAAAAAATTTTAATAAATAAATAAATTATCTCATTTTAATTATTATATGTATCAAATATAAAATAAAATAATATTATTTAATTTAATCATATTTATAATATTATTTTATCATAATTTAATATATCAAACATGATCTAAATTTATTAATTAAACATATGCATTAATGCCACAATATATGATACTTGATAGATCACTTACTCAAAAAATTAAGCTCAAATTCCTTCTTTTCCGAACTAAAGAAAGAAAAAAACCATTTATCATAGATGATAGATCTCAACTTGGTAACCTTTTAACTAGCACTTATAAAATAATAGTTATATAAATTCAAATTTTAATTTAATTAATTTATGTAATTATTTTTATGATATTTAATAAATTTAAAATTCAAATCATGATATATACAAAATAAACAAAGAAGATCTTTTAATGATCTAAAGTAGTAAAACAATTTATTTTTGTTAGATAAATGGGGACAAACCCTCAATTGGCATGATATGAGGGTTGGACCCTCAATTTTGTTTAATTCATAAGCTCCCTATAATTTCCAAAATCAGATATTAAGTGTTTAAAAAAATAAAATTGAAATGAAAAGTGGGGTCAAATGGTATATGCCAAGAATGTATGGACTATATCACAAAAAATTTCTCATTAATTATTGAAGCGTTACTTAAAACCATAATTTTGTTTCCTAATTTCATCATTAATTAAATTGTTCATTATGGTCATTATTATTGCAGTTTTTTACTTTTCTCTTTTTTTTTTTCCAAAATAACCTTAATATATATCAGAATGACAAAAAAAAAAACCCTCCAAGTTGATATAAATATATTTCTCCTTCGTTGCAATATTAGTCGTAACACTAATATTTGCCAGATTGCAAAACTTCCAGGGCCCAAACAATGGCTTATCCAGATCATCTTGAAGCTCTTAATAAAGCCTTCTCAGGTTCCTCCATTTTCTTTTCTTAAGTTTCTTCAATTTATCTAACTTCAAATTAAAAACTTTTTTGAAAAGAGCAAGAACCATGGTTAAATCTGTGTTTAGAAAATTTGTAAATGATCAATATTTATTATTTTATGATCCTTTTCAGGGATTGGAGTGGATGAGAATTCATTAATCTCTATAGTGGCAAATTCAAACCATGAACACAAGAAATCCTTCAGGAAAGGATGTTCCAAGTTGTTCATTGAGGATCAAAACGGATTCGAGCGAATGGATCAATCTATCATAAAAAATCTCAAACTCGAATTCAAGCGATTTCGGGTGTGTTACTTTATACCTATATTATATGCATAGGTACATCAACATTTTTAGTATTATATTTAGCTTAAAAAAGAATCAAATCAGTTCATTATTAGTAATTAAATCCTCTTGTTTTCTCTTCTTTCTTCTTCAAATAAGATGTAAAAAAGAAATAAATAAAAAAGTTATAGCTTTTTAGACAGTAAAATCTACCTGAATGACCTAGTAATAGGGAAAAGAGAGATTTATGGGATTGAAATGTAAAAGCAATTTTATTGATATAACAAAGAGTAAAGAACTAAAAAAAAAGTTTTATACTTGGGATTGAAGTATAAAAAGCAGATTTTTCTGGTTTTTTTTTTTTTATATATATATTTTATGGTTGTTATTAGGATGCTGTGGTGCTTTCACTCTTGCATCCTTGGGAAAGAGATGCTCGTTTGATTGAAAAGGCAATGAAAAAGGGCCAAAAACACTATGATGTTATTGTAGAGATAGCATGTACAAGATCATCAAATGAATTATTGGGTGCAAGAAAGGCTTATCATTCCCTGTTTCATCACTCCGTCGAGGAACATCTTGCTACCCATGTTAAGGGTTGTGAGCGTAAGGTGAATCCCTTGATCTTTAGGCTCCTATGACAAATTTTATGGGCCATCCAACCCCATAATAAAGTCTAACTTTGGACCTCACTAATGAAAATCCATTTTTTTTTCCTTGAGCAGCTCTTGGTGGCACTTGTAAGTGCTTACAGGTATGAAGGGCCGAAGGTAAATGAAGATGTTGTAAAATCTGAAGCTGAAATCCTTTCCAATGCAATCAAGAATGCTGATAAAAGGAAACCTATTGAGGACGAAGACACAATCATGATCCTTGCTACAAGGAGCAAACCACATCTTAAGGCAGTCTATGAACACTACAACAAAATCTGTGACAAGAGCCTCACTGAGGTACAGCCAACATGCAAGAAAGTAGTTAATTCCACTTGTTTATATCGCATAATATATAGATGTTGCAATGGAAACAAAATGAAAAATTAATTAATACTAGTTCTGATTATACTATATTATATGTTGCTAGTCTTCATTTTTCATTAAACAACAGTATCCAATACTTATCCCGAGTTTGATTAAAGTATTGCCAGAATATTTCATTGTCGACGGAAGATTATTAACGATGGAAATTTTGTTGGTAATCAAGATTTCTGACGGAATAAAGGGTATTACCGACGGAAAATATGTGCATATATATGACTCTTTCATGCTTAAATATTTTTTTTGTTTAGGATCTTGAAGCTGAGGGAATTTTAAAAGACACTGTAGAATGCCTGTGTACCCCTGAAACATATTTCACAAGAGTAAGATTATTGTGGGATTTTTTTTTTTAATTTCCTTGTTAGTTTTCCAATTAGCTTTTGTTCTACTCTTCCAATTTTCAGATTTTGGATGCCGGTCTCAGTGTTGATGGGGATGAGGAATCCAAAAGAGCAGTGACTCGAGTGATTGTAACCCAAAGGGAGGCATTGGTGAAAGAGGGTTACGCTCCTAACAAAATTCAAGGGATTCTTACAGGGCATTACAAGGATTTCATACTTGGCTCCCTAGCAAGAGAAGAAATGAATAAGCCACTCTAGCTATACATGCCATTAAATGACTATTTTTATTCATATTTAATGAATGATATTATCTTCTTATGATTTTTTGTTTCATTGCTTGTGTAAGAGTTGAATTTATAAGTAGTGTTCATCTCATTTCCTTCATTCACAAGAAAATTTAAGTGGATTGCAATCCAAGAGAACTTTTTTTCTCTGTTTTGCTGAGACAAATTTCATTGATAATAGTAGTTTTTAAATTTTGTTATTTTTGTATTTTTCATATCGATTTCGTAGCATTTATCGAGCTTGCTTTTCTGTTTTAACGTTTATAAAAAGACTTGCTAAGAGTAGATGATTTTCAACTCTTGTAAGTTCTTAATCAAACTCATTCCTATTGATGTCGAATGAAGTGAGAAAAGGAATATGCCATCAGACAACTGCTTAGGATAACAACCTCCCCATTAAAACCAGACAAAATGAACATAAACAATTATTGTTACGCCATAGAAACTTAAGCCTGGATCAAGACAATAGTGACTCAAATCAACAACACTTGTTAGAAGTCTGGAAATGGCCAAATAAAGATTTCAATCTTCCTTTCCCAACAGAGTAAGAAGTAAGGCCTTGTAAGCCCCTGAGGTTTCCTTAGCAACAGCTTGATCAAGAGGCACACTGTTTCTTTTGTGATAAAGGTCTTTGATCTCTTTCAGGTCCTTTTCAGCCCTTGTAACAATCACCCTGGTAAGAGCATCCTCATCAGCTCCGATCCTTTTGATCGAATTGCGCAAAACCTATAGCAGACAATGCCAAATATAAGTCCATATATGTACCAATTCTGTTGATGAAGAAAGCTTATCAAATTGGTATTAGGATCATTAGACTTAACCTTTTCAAAGTACTTTTTCGGGTCATTAAGGCATCGAACTGCGGTTCGCAGTGCTACCAGGAATGCAGCATCTGAATCACCTAGCAAATTCTGGAGATACAGGAAAGAAAAAGGTTAATTGAGAATATATTTGACTTGAACGTAGCTTGTTTTACTATACCTTAGTGATAGAAGTGCCTTGATCATCTCTGTAGCGATTGAAAGTTGCCAGAAGTTGCATCTTGCTCCTCGTACTCAGGATCCTGATAACTTCTTCATGGTTGAATGTCCTGTCTTTGATAGCATCATGAAGAATGTTGGCCTCAGAATTTGCTACTCTGGCATTTATCTCCTCTCCATCATATCTGAATGCACACACCAAGGCAACTAAGAGCTGTAACAGCAACAAAAACCTTCATCAATTACTTGTTCCCCAAGTTTTCATGAACCATAAAATGAAGAAAAAAGGAAAAATAATATAGATCAGGATATGCCTTTCGGATGTCTCCCTTTGTATGAGCAGCAACATCTTCCTCCAGGGAATGCTTGTAGCGAGCCTGATAGGCTCTCCTTACAGCCAAGAGCTCTTCAGGGGATCTGGTGCATGAAATTTCAATGATCACATGGTGATCAAGGCTAGTTTTCCGTATGGCCACATTAGCTAAGACAGCATCTCGATCTGCTGGATCCAATATCCAACGATACACAGCTCTCTATAATATTCACAATAATCAGTCTTATTTATTCTCAAAAAACTGATGACATAACATTTAAGGATGAAACTGAAATGCTAATGATGCTTTCATTAACCTCAAAGTCACCAGAAAGCTCTGATTCCAGACGCTTGATGAGATCCTCCTGGTAGAGCTTTTCATAAGCTAGCCTGATTTGCTTAATTTGAGCTGCATTTCTATGACCCAGAACTGAAATTATTGTCTTCTCATCTGTCCCCCATCCTAGAAAAGTTACAAGGAGAAAAACTTATTTAATTTATTTTTTAAATCTAAGGATGGATTATAAGAACAAAAAATGATCAGTACATAACAATTAAAAGACTAAGATTATTTGAAATTTTTCATTGTAATAAACCTTGACAAGCCTTTCGGAGAGCTTCTGCATCTTCAACAAAAGAAACCTGGTTAGGAACATCAATGGTGGCCATTTTTTTTTGAACCAGTTACCTCTAATCTGGAGATTGTCAAAGAATTTTTTGAAGGAAACTTACCTGAGTTGAGACTCTTATTGGTAGGGCTACGTTCTTCACAGTACCCTTGAAATTAACGCCTAGAAAAAATAACTGTTTCGGCCTTTTTGATATCTTGATAAGTGGTCCAAATAAATATAATTTAAAGATTTAAATATACGTTGTGATTTGGTTTAAAAAATATATATGTTGTGATTTATAAAAAAATATATATTAAGGAATTTTAGTGAATATTTTTAGTATTTTAAAATTAAAATTTTATTAAAAATATTTTAATCAGTTACTCTTAACTTTTGAAATTAACACTTTTATACATATAAAATATAGATAATAAATGATATAATATAATATTTTTTGAATTAAATCAAACAAATGTTTGCATATATATATATATATATATATATATTGCTATCTTTTGATCTTTCATTAATTTAAAAGTGTTAAGTGAACTAAATCTTTATCAGATTCCCCTTTTTCAGCAAAATTAAATAATATTGTTAATCACAGTGAGTTTGGTACATATGCATGTGAGCAAGAAGATATGAAATTAGCTTTACAAGGCTTCTGAAGGGCTAGATCATCTTCAACGGCGGAAGGGTGGTGAGGAGCAAACAAGGTTGCCATTATCCATCACCGTTATTAAAAAAAAAAAAAAAAAATTGAATATAATTTATAACGGATAAATCGCGGTCGTGAATTATCATGTAACAGTGAATAACAATAATAATGATATGTTATTATCGTTATTGCTGCTATTCCTATTTTCATTCAAAAATTTTTAAAAAAATTCATTTGATTCTGTTTAAAAACTTAAAATAAAAACAAAAAAAAATAAACATCAATTTATAAATAAAAAAAAAACTCACGAAACTTCAACTTTCAAAAATATTAATTCTCTCAAATTTAACTTCAATCAAAATCAAGTAATTGGACTATAATACATTGGTAGAATGAGGTAAAAGTTATTGAGACTTAAAATGAGAAACAAGAAATGAAAGTGAGACTTGAGGTTGACGGATGCAAGTAGATAGCACACACAAAATAAAAAGAGAATTGAGAGATGAGGATGAGAATGAGAATGAAAGTTTAGAGAAAAAAATTATTGAATGTAAGGTGAAGGGATGAAAAATCATGTAGGTCTATGCAATTTAATCAAGAGAAATGAAGTAAACTTTAGGTTATTATTATTGAAAATTACCCACAACATGGAGGCTGTCAAGTTTGACTTACTGTAAGTTCATAAAAAATAATTCTCTTGACTCATAAATAATAATGCTCTTATTTAATTTATGGATGTCTAATCACTTATTATTTAATTTATACATAATATAATTCAATAATAATTTGATGAGTACGGTAATTAAATAATTAAATATATTATTCGTTATGATTATTTATTTTTTATATATTTTATTTATCTCTTGTTAATTTTTTAATTATCATATAAATAATTTTTTAAATATAAATATTTTACTATAAATATTTTTTAAAATAAATAAAACGCATGATATAATATAAATTATATTAAAAATCATAAAATAAAAAATTTTATAATTAATAATTAAAATTATTATATTTTATAATAAATTAAATAAAATTTTAAAAAATTTATAATCATCATAATTATAATAATTACGAAAATTTTTATTATATCCATAATTATAACAAACACAAGATGATAAAAAATATAATCGTTATTGTAATTTAAATCTATGATATCTATAGCAACCAAAATGGGTATGATACCCAATGTTGAAATTAACGCCAAGTCGGTCATGTCTATCATGCTTTTCAAGCTACGTTAGAAAAACTGAAAGGACAGAAAAGCAAAAGCAAAATCTCATTTCCTTTGTTTCTTCATTCAATTTCAGGAGTATACGGCGTGTCTTGGAAATTGGAATGATTTTGGGAAGGTCGATGCCATGGAAGGATGCAAAGTGTGAACAAATAAAATAATAAATATAGGATTCCCCCAGGTAATGCTTCAGCTTTTTCATCAGTTTTCAAGACTTTACACTTCTTTCTTCGTTACTTGTACCCATCATCCCTTTGTTTCCCATCACGAAATGTTAAAATACATGAGACACAAAATGACCTACCGTGCTTGAATGAAAATTTTTTTTTTTATCTCTTTTCTTTGTTTATTTTATATTGTATAAGATAATGTATTTTAGATTTACTAATTCCTATATTTATGTTATATAAAATATTTATATTTATATATTTATGAAATATTTTTTATATTTAGATTTACGTGACGATTTATAATTTTATTTTTTTGTCATTCAAGGACAAAATCTTACTTTAAGAGAGAGACGAGAAAATTAGGATTCTAACCCTAATTTTGATATTTTTTTTAATGTTGTTTTAATTACTAAATCAAATAGTTGAAGATACTTATAATTTAATCATTCATTCAACACACACAAAAATGTTAAAATAAAATAATAACATAGTAATTAGATCCTTTCTTAGGAGGTCAAGCTTTGAGATAATCAGTCATTCAATTTTACACAAACATATTTTTTACAAAATATATTATCAAAATTTTTAATATTTTAGTTATTAAAATAGAAAAAGATACAATTTATGAGTTATTAACTCTTGCTTATTGTTTCAATTTATAACCCTTATCTTGTTAATTAGCAGCTACATACTAACGAAGTTTTGGATATTTCAACCTTAATTAAGTTGAATCGGTCAAAGTTAATTGGTCTTTGAATCAGATATTTTGATTAAAAATTGTTATCAATTCTATTGAGATTTGATTGATTGTTATATCATGATTTTGTAGTTGGTATAACCAAAATTTATAGCCCTCAATTATCTGATTTTATGATTATTAAAAAATATTTTTTTATTTTCAAAGATTTTTCTCTCAATTATCTCTTACGATCCATCCATCGTTAGCCTGTAAATATATAGAGGCACCTAAGTATTAAAATTCAAATTTTAAATTTATTAAATTTTACATTTTAAGAATTATTTTATAAACTAATTAAGTTAAGTTCTAAGTTTTATTTTTATATCTTTAATAGTTAGTGCAAGTTATTAAAAAAAGTCTAATGTATATTAAAGGGTAATCATTTAATCTGACTTTATTCTTAAGGCTTTGCTTGATAGGGTGGAAAAAAAATAGAAGATGGAAAATTAAAAGATAAAAAAAAAGGTAGCAAGATGGAAATCTTTTTTTTTTTTTAACTATGTGTTTGGTTGGAAAGATAGAAAAGTTGGGAAAAAATAAAATTTTATTTTCATCCATTGTTTGGTAGAATTAAAAAATGAAAGAAAAAAGTAAAAGTTATATGATTTTATCATTATAACCATTTATAAATTAAGATGAAAAAAAAATCTAAATTTGATAAACAATTATATAAATATGTAATACATACTCACACTTCTCTCATTTTCTCTCCTTTTTTTTTTATAAGAAAAATTTGGAGTGATTTGTTTTTGTTAATAAGTGTGAAAAATAATAATCTTTCATATTTTCTTTCCTTTGATTTTTTTTCTTACCAAGCACAAGTAAACTCCATTTTCCTTTTACTTTTCCACTCACCTCTTTCCATCCTTCCACTTTTCAATTGTACTAAGCTTGTTCTAATGGCAATGTTACACATATAAATATTCTTGAATCTAACTTTCAATTCCAATTATTTTCCCAACATGAAGCGGCTAACATGTCAGCCAATTCTTAGGTAGAAATTTAATTAGCTGATGGTGACTTGGATAAAATGTCAAAAAGAAAAAGAAAAAGGAAAGCAATTTAATTATGCAAATCCTAACATTTCCTTCTTCCATATCTAATGCTTCTAAACCCTTTTAATATATTCTTTTGAATCATGCAAACTACAAAATTTTCAAACCTAGAGCTATATTAACTTCAACATGAATGCTACTTAATTAAACCACACTATTAAAACTAGGATATTGACATTTCGTTATGAATGTGTTATGAAGGATGTTTGAAAATTGTTCAAAATTTTAGATGATAACCTATGAAATTATTTGATGAATTAAAAAAAAAATTAAAGAAAGAGATTTGCAACATGACAGATGTAGAGACTCACATTCAATCTGTAAGATATAATTTGTTTTAATATGAAATCTCATTGTTTTGTTTCACAAAATGTATCTTATATGTTTGGATTTAAACTTTTACACATGTATTTTAAAAGAATTTCATATTATCCTGATATGTAATTGGGATGTTACAATAAATTTATTGACATTTTATTTCATGAGATTGACGGATATAAAAAAGTTGGTATATATATATATATAGCTATAATATTTAAATTCAATCAATTTTCACCACAAATATATATTTATACTTCTCAATTCTCACCTTTCTTATCTAATTTTCAAAAGATATATCTCTACATGGTTATAAACAATTAATTAATTATATATATATGATGATAAAATTGTCCAGAATTGAACAAGATTTATATAAAATTTAATAACGTGTGAAAAGCAAGAAAAATAATATTTTTATTACTTTGTAATTGTAAAAAAATTATATATAAATAGTGAATTATTTAGGGCAATGATGATTATTATATTATAAAATAATAGGGATTTAATTTCTACCATTCCACATAAATAGATTTATATAAATTGAGTCTCTTGTTCGGCAGCAAGGACTCCATGGCCCAATGGATAAGGCGCTGGTCTACGGAACCAGAGATTCTGGGTTCGATCCCCAGTGGAGTCGAGTGGGTTTTTTTATTTTAGGCTTTTTTCACTTTCAGGACAATCGCAATTTTCCAGTGGGCCCTTCTTTTTGCTAATTTCTAAGAAAAGAAATCAAAGCAAGTTTTTACATTTTTTTTATGAATTAATAATATTGGAACATAAGATGTAATAATTTTAATAATTCTATATGTTTCTTTTTGAAGTGATATATAAACTAATTTCATTTGACAAAATTATAATTTTCATTTCATATAAATGCAATAACTTTTTCTAATTTACTTTTAAATTAATCAATTATTTTTTTTATAATTGATTTAGTACTATGTTTAAATTAATCCACATGTGTTATTGCAATCTAAATAAGAAAAAAAAATCCAAATCACTAAAAGTAATATATTTTTTTGGTATAATTAAATAATTAAATAATACTATAAGCTATTTATTTATGGTATATAAAGAAAGGGAGTATTCTAAATTTTCTATATAATTTTTACAACATGGATGATAGGATATGGGTGACATAAAAAAATCAACACAGAGAAAATATCCATATAGTTATAAAACCCTATACCAATAATAAAATTCTTGAGTTTGATGTTGAGTTAAATGATATTAAATCAATAAAAAATATTTATAAAAAATAAAATTATCATAAATATATAATTAAATATGCATGCCTTTTCACTTAAAAATCAACTTTTTATGTATTATTTTCTTCAAAAAGTAAATTTTTGTTTTCAAAATATTTTTTGTTTCACTTTAATTGTGGGTATGCTTAATTTTAGGTTTAATATAATATAACGAAAATTCAATGTCTCATTAGACAACGATATAACTTATATAAAATTAAATTATATGCTTATGTTTTTTTAACATTAAGAAATTATAATTATCCATTAAAAAACTATTCACGTATTATTTTGTCAAAATGAAACTTTTAGATTTACAATAATTAAAAAAAAATCTTATATATCACTATAATTATAACGAAAATTTAGCTATATTTAAATATTTAGATTATTGAGGTGGTTCATGAGAATCTCGTATCATTAAAAAATAAAACAAAAATGTGGAATATATAAAAAGTACTCAATAACTTAATAATTTAAAATTTTAAACTTAAGTGATGTGGAATATATATGTATAAACTCCTTTTAGTATGTTTCCATGAGTTTCAAAGTGTAACTTATTTTCTTTCAATTGATATTAGAGCTAAAGGTTGGGTTTGAAAGATAGTACGGTGATATGTATAGAGACAATCTGTGATTGTCTACAACCTTAAAGAGCAGTAAGATAATATGAATATGTGATTGTGTTCAAGGTTAAAAGATATTGAGATAATTTGGACACATGAGTTACATAGATTGCTTGACTTGATAAGATGCATTGATGAGATTTATTTGCACAAGAGGTTGATTAGAAATCACAAGCAAATTTAAAAAGGCATTGAGACAATTCGAATGCACAAAAAATGAGAGGTTACTTGACCTAATAAGGGGCGTTGATGAAATTTATTCATACAAAAAGTTAATTAGAAATCATAAATGAATGGAAAAAATTGTTAAAATAATTCATATGTGAAAAAAACTTATATCGCTAAAAAATAAGATAAAAATTTGACATATATACGTAAAACACCTAAAAAATTTGATAATTTAAACTTTTTAAACTTGGGTAATATCTAAATATATGTATAAACTTTTTTTAATATGCTCTATAATCTTCAAACGTGGCTTATCTCCTCTCAAACGTAGATGATATAAGACTTTGAATTCAAGCTTTAGTCCTTATCCAACCGATCATGAAAAGCACCATACAAATTGCCCATTACCACAAACCACAAACCTATACTTTTCTTTTTTGTCTTTTATGAACCGTATACCTTTCTAGTAAGGTAAAAGTTCAAACAAAAATATAAAGTATGAAAAAGCAACAGACAAGAAAAAAAAAAGGAATAATTTTGCTTATACCCCTGTTACTTTTAGTGTTGTTGTAAAAACTTAAAAACATCCTATGATTTATTTGCATTTAACATCTTATTTGGTTCAATAAGTGAGCTGTTGGTTCAGGTTTCTTTCACTTTGAAGATTCGAGTTCGAGTTTCCTTTCTCTTAAATTCTTTTAAAATTTTATTTGGTTTCAATATTGTTTAAGATTTCGATGTTAATAATTATTAAAAGTGTTTTTAAATAAATTTAAATAGTTATATGATATTAAACTATATAATAAAATATCATTCTACCATTTAATAAATCTCATCCGTTTATTTTAAGATTCAAACTTAAAATCTCTAACATAAGATGTTGCATTCACTGTTAAGGTATCTCTTTTGAAAACATTAGTTGAAGTTAGCAAAAATATAATTTTATTTTTTTTATAAAAATGGATACTCTCACCAAATTAATTCAAAATAATAAGTTATTTATAATTTTTCATAAATATAATTTTATCTATTGTTAAGTGAAATACCTTATTAGAATATGACACACCCTGAATATATATTTTTTTCTTTTTCAAAATAGAAGTTTTGAAAAAAAGTTAAGTAGGCTTTCTATATAAAAGTAGATAGTTTTGTAATTTTTTAAATAGAAAATAAGTTCATTAAAAACTTTAAAAAGATATAGATATTCTTAGTTTTGTTATAATAATTGTTACCATTTTAATAAAATTTTAAATAAATTAATAAAGCTTTAATAATATAGTATAGAACTATAGATGCTGATAAATTGAAACCACAAATAATTATAGGGTGTTATATGATAATATTTTAAAGATTAAAGGGTCTTAATGCAATTTGACCCAAAAAGATGAAACTGAAATGCAGGTGAAATAGTAACGTAATCAACGCCGCCCAATCACGACTCAGCAAAATATCGGCTCATTCCTAACCACAGCTTTAGATAGGCGTGTTCACACGTGTCATCTTTCCGTCCAACCATCTCCCACCTGACATCACGTCATGCCGTCAACTGGGTCGCCTCCCCATTTTTTTCTCTTTCCATTTTCTAGTTTCTTTTCTCTCTCTTTTTCTCTGTCTACTGTAACTCTCTTCTTCGTCTCTCATTGCTTTATTTTCTCACTCCTCTGTTAATAAAAAAAAAAAGAAAAATATAAGAAATTAATTTTAATTTCAATTTTATTTTTTGGGTATGTTTTATTTAGTCCTGTTGTAGTTTTTTTTGTATTTTTTTAAAATTTTTTTGGCTGAATTGGCGATGTGTGGAGTAATTTTATCACGTTCTTTTGAATTGGGATTCGCAATTGTATTCGTGATTAGCTGCAGTTTCTTTAGAGATGTTTGATTGGAACGACGAAGAGGTAAATTAGTTCTAATTTTTTCTTAAAAAATTTTTTTTTTCTTTGCTCTGTAAATGACTTTTTATTTTTTTTTTTTGGAATGTTGTTACATCAAATATGAACTCAATTACATTTTTTAATTTGCTATTAAATTTATTTTACTTGGCATAAATTTACTAAAAAATTGTGTTTGGCTTTTTTTTTAGGGAATTGCTTAGATTGCTCTGTTTTTATGTTCTGTCTCTGTTTTCTCATGGATGTTTTTGTTTACCATGAAAATTAAAGTGCACTTGTTAAGGTTTCTATTTAAGGAAATATCATTGATTAAGATCGTGTCGGAATAGTCAATTGTAGTAACTGTAGTTAATTTTCTTAACAATTGCACTCAGGGTACTTGTCAGCATTTTCCATATTGAATTAGCAAAAATATTATGCAAAAATATTGGTCTTAGGAATTTCTTGAATCAAAATGCAATCTTTTTTCTTGCTTGAGTTGGAAGCAAAACAGCAGTGTGGCGTTTAGGTGAAAGAAGAGTTTCAGTACTTAAACATTGGAATGAAATTCATGTTAGAGATTTAGGAAAGAAGTAGACCGCCAATTTAAATCACGATATGGTGATATGATATGAACACAAAATGAAAATAGAACGTGAAAGTGACATAATTTAAAATTTTAACAATAATTATATATAGATTTAACAAAATCAAAAAATGTATTTCATATTTTTGTGTTGAAAAAAAATGTGAGTAGCAATCTTTGTGCAAAACACGGTACAAATACACAAAATTTAGTATTTTACACAACACGAATATATGAATCACCATGTCTAGAAAGAAGTGTCCTAGGATAGAATAAATGTGATAAGCCGTCCTGGAGTTGAGGAATTCTGAGAACAATTTTAGTCTAGAAATTTTTTGAAGGATGTTTTGTGGGGTGAACATGGAGGATTGGTCTTTATGCAGTATTAAAATGGCTCATTATACAGAATTTATCTTGTTTAGGAACTAGAAAGAGCGAAAGATGAGAATCAATGAGGCTTGAACTACTTTGCTAGGAAGTAAATGGTTTATGTTTATGGCGAGTATTATTCTCTGTTCTGTACCTCTTATTAAGTTAGCTTGGAAACAGAAAACTAGATGAAGTAAAAGAACGGCTTGAATAAACACATTATCATCAGTATTGGAAGGAATCTAGAAGCCAGTGGGGGCAGGGTATGTTGTTGAATGGACGAAGTTTCACTGTAAAGTTCAGGAACCAAACTAATTCATAAAGATCGAATATTGAAATAGAGATTGGGAGAAAACTTGAGGTTGCTATAACGTTGTAGAGAAATAAACTTATGGTTTTTGTGTTAGATGGCATTTAAGTAGGATTTGGAATTGGTAGAATTGGAAACTTTATCTTGAAATAATTCAAATTGTGAATTAGTCACTGGATACAAGAGAAACTGTGCTTAATCAGGGACTGAAACCTACTTAAAATCACTTACTGAGCTAGAGCTGGAAAAAATGATTTTTTAGGTCTGGATTTTAGAGCAGAAGAGCTAGGGCTTATAGTTCATTTCCTTTCCATTTGCACATTGGTTTAGCTTCTGTGACCTTGTCTGCAGTTGCATGGATAGTAGCATTATAAGCTTGACAACAATGGTTGGTAAACATATGACACAGCTCTTGATCAAATACTTTGAACTAAAATAAAGAAAATGTTTTGAATTTAGGATGGGTTAGTTCACGTGCCCTTCAAGAAGCCCTGAAATCTCATCAGCAAAAGAGAGCATATTTACTCTACTATATATTTCACTATTGCCAGGCTACCTCTCGTTGTCAATGGAATATTTAAGTACCCTGCGGATCAGTTATTTCCAGCCTATATGTCTAACCTTTATATCTGGTGTGTTAATATTTGGAGTTCATGAAAGATATAATTAGGGCATCTTATGCCTTCTCAATCAGCTAGTTAAATGCCTTTTTGTTTTGTGCATCAGATGTCTTTTTCTTTTCCTGGTTGAAGGTTTAACAAATCTCGACCATGACTTTTATTTGCTCGATGAATAACCAGTTGATTTAAGGTTGAATCTTCTAGCTTGACATCCAAGTAAGATAACAGTAGGGTATTATTTTGTTTTGTTTTTGCAATTTTTTGTTCTGTATGTTTATGGAGAGTAGTGTACTAGTGTACTAGTGTTATCTAAGTTTAAATTTGTGGGAAGGATGCTTTGAATTGTGATTCAAAATAAATATTAAACAATATTAGGTCCAATCAGCATAGAAACAACAAAAAAATTGTTGAGATCAAATTCATTTTTGGAACCAAATAATGTGAAGGAAGATTTAATGGATTCCGAGTGAATTCGAGACACTTGAGCAAAAGGAGAGAACATTAATGAATGAGGCTGTGACACAAGTTAACAAAGTAATGATCTGGGTTGTGGAGAGAGTGTTTGATGATTTTTGTTCATAGTTTACATTTGGCAAATTTGTAACCTATCCTTCTGGTATCTTACGAGTTCTAAATAATTTCTATCTTTTTACTGTGTTGAAATTATCCTTATCGGCTGTGATTGATTTTAGAGAGCACCAAACTGCAAAACAATTAATTTAATCAGGCACACCTATGAACCCATACATCTGACAACCGAGCTGCAGCTTTGCTCTAGCTTTTCAATTGTTTTATATTTTTTTTAACTTAAATACCTTTAGTTTGATTGCTTAAAGATATAATGATACCTTTTTGGATGGTGATATGGTTGGTTATATATTTTCAGTTAACGAATATAATATGGGATGAGGCTGGTGAGACCGATGACCATATAGTACCATGCCAAGAGGGAAGTGAAAACTGTCATAGTAAGAAGGAATGGAGTCAAGTAACTGCAACCATAAAGTCTACTGAGCAAAAGACACCTGGGGATAAAGTTGATCTTCATGGAAGAAAGTTGGAGGGCAGTTCCAAGTTCAATACAAATGGAGGGATTGCCACCTCAGGATTTGGCATGGGCTCGTGGCCAGAGTTATCTTTATATAATGCAGCAAAAACTGCTCAAGATTTGATGGGTAACGAAGTCTCTAACAATTTGGTTGAAGTAACTAAATGTAGCTCAAAAAATGGTGAGAATATTAGTTATTCAGACTAAAGCCAATAGCATTTTTTTTTTCTTTATCGTTTTATAACCATAATTATCCACCTTCTCTTAACAGCAGAGACAACTGAACTTAGTAAAGATCCTGAATTTTTTCAAAATCCCAATGATGATAAAGAACAAGGTGATTTTGTTGACTACAGCTGGGCTAACATTGGAAGCTTTGATGATCTTGATCGAATTTTTAGGTAAAGCACAATTCTTACCTTAATTGTAGCTTATGAAAGCATTGTTTTGATAATCTAGTCTGAAGATTGGTCTTTGTGTAGTCATGCAAGCCGTATTTGCTTCAACTTAGTAAGTACCCACAAGTTGTTAACTTTTGTCACCATGGAACAACCTTCAGTGTCTTCACATAAACGACCATTTATTTTCGTGGATATTTGACTTTGAAAATTTTATACTTTCATTTGCTCTAAGTTATAACTATTCTTTGTACCCTCAGGAACTAAAGAACCTGAAACTCCTGCACCAGTTTGATCACTTCGGTTATCCAAATTTAGTATACACTTCTTATGTGTGTCCCTTGATTTTGTAGCAGTGTTCCAAACTAGTATAAGAAAAATCTGGGTGGAGTCCTATACCACTGAGGAAAAAAAGAGAACTCCAATCATAATGTTCTTTTCCTTGTTTCTCCTTTTTATCATATACTATGGCATCCATCTGAGTCAATATTCTCACAAGTGATGATTTTGCAGCAATGATGACCCAATATTTGCCAATATAAGTCTTGGTAGTGCTGATGAGTTATGGTCCTCATCTAAAGAGGTAACAAACGGCCCAGGAAAGTCCGTTCCTACAACTGTGGACTCTCCTAGCCTAGTGATAGGAGCATTAACGAGCATATCTGAGCATTTGCAAATCAAAGGAGAACATGAGCAACAAGATAACCAGTCATTTACCCTTAGCTATGGAAAACTGCATGGTTCCACATCTCATGGTCTGCATAACATGGAATTTCCCGGAGATAAAAGTAAATCCATAATTCAGGAGCAGGTGTGAAATATCAACATGCAGTATGATCAATTCTTTGTTACTTATTCTTGCAACATAGTCAATCAAACCGAAGTAATAATATAATTTATCTTTCCTCTGTCACAGACAATTGTGGAAACTGCAGGAAAAACCGGTGTGTCAAAGTCTCACCTGGTTACTGAAAAAGTTATGAACCCTAATGGATTGGATAATAAGGTTTTCCTATCATACTCTTTATGCTTAACTATTCAAATTATCTTTGGTTTGTGGTATTTCTCTTCAAGATTTGGAATAAAATACTATTTTCCATGGTCCTGGAATGGCAAGTTCTACAGTGTCTCATTCATTGTGCATTTACAGAATAGCTAATAAATGCTGAGAATGTACTATTATATAGATTTTCTAATGTCTGATATATAATTTATTGAGCTTAAAAAGCCCATCTATTTGGTATTTTATGGATTTGACAAATAACCATCAGGGAATAGCTTAGTTTGGAATGATAGAGATTGCTTGAACTATAAGAGAGCTTCTACTTATTCATCTATAAAAGGGTTATAGCACATTTCACCTTAAAATGTCATCCTCAGAGGACTATTATGTCTTCCACATATATTCATTTTTCCTTCAAGCTCGAGTAATTGCTTTCTCCTAAATGATAACTTCTTTCTTTAGCCAAAGGAAAAAAAAAAAGAGAAAACTTCGTTCTTCTTTTCTCTCCTTTCCTCCTTTTTTTCCAGGGAATGGGCAGGGGTGTTGGAGGATGCTATGAAGAGGCAATATAACTTATTGCATTAATTTACTGGCATTATAAATTTAGGTATTTCCTTCAAGATGTCAATGTGTTATTTTTAGTTTAATACTTCCCTGTGCAGGCATATGGGCGGAAAAAGCGGCTGAAATTTAGGAAAAAACCTGAAGAAATAGGTGAGGCGAAACTAGTACAAGATTTATATGGTACCTGGATTTCATCTGGTAAACCATTGGCTCAATATGAGAATAATTTGGCAACCTCCATGGTAAAATCTTTTCCATCTTCAGTTGTGACTCAGCAGAGGCAGCTTCGAGTAACTGACTCATTGCAGTACCAGCATATCTCCAATACATTTGTAGCCCCTTCCACGTATGGGAATCTCACAAACCAATATCCTGCAATACCTGTTTTGTCCAATGTCCAGTCTGGCGAATTTAATCAGCAGCCCTTGCTTTCTTGTTATGGTGTTTCACCTGGGAAGGCAAATCACGTAAACAGATCAGTTGAGGCTGCTGCAAAACCCCTGAGCACGATGACACCTCAGGAAAAAATAGAAAAATTGAGACGACGCCAACAAATGCAAGCACTGCTTGCTATTCAGATACAACAACAGCAGTTTGCCCATCAAGTTCCTTGTACTGATCACTCTGTCATTCAAAAATCTACTCAAGAAAATCAATTTCAGTATGTTGAGGGAGCTGATGTAGAAGACCTTAGCACTCTTGCCTCTTTTGACCCAAACTCACCTCTAGAGCAAGATGATTCTAATACAGTCTCAATAGCAATTAATGACTATGCAGCGAAGGACACAGTACTTTATCAGCTACAAGATGTAATTGCAAAGGTATGCTTGACTTACTGGTGAAGTTCTTTCCTTGCTGGCTAATAAGGAATTAGTGACAACAAATCAATTTTTGCAGTTGGATGTGAGAATTAGACTTTGCATAAGAGATAGCTTGTTCCGGTTGGCTCAAAATGTGATGCAGAGACATTATGCTAGTGACACAAGCAGCACTAATAAAAGTAGCAGGGATGAAAGTAAAGTTGCAAAAGAAGAAAATAAGAACTATAACAGGTTAGTAAACTCTATGCTGTTGCATTTGTATTTATGTCAAAAGTAAACTGATTTTTTATTATCCTTGGAAAGGTTAATTTATGTCATGACAACTCTCCCAAGGTTTTACTAAAATTAAATAGCACTTGATTACCTAAGGTTTGCACTATTAATGGCTGAATGCTGACTTACTAAGGCATCAATGTATTTTGAGCCAAGATGAAAAATATAGATAAAAGGGAAGGGTGTTCAATTAAAGATTCCATTTTCCTTTTTGTTTTTCTAGGTTGATGAATTGAAGATCTTGCTCTTCTCTTGCTTTATAACAATTTGCTGATACTTTAACACTTTAAATAGCAAGGGGTTAACTGTGATTTGTAATATTAAAAAGGATAATTCTTACTTACTAAGGCTTAAATCAGTACATGTATTTTTAGCCAAGACAGAAAATATAGAAAAAGGAGTGCATTCAACTTTTTTTTTCTTTTTTGCATAACTTGCTTTTCTTGGTTGATGAATTTCTGATCTGCTGCTTTCTATCCTTTTGAGAATTCGTTGATCCTTTTCACTTTAAATTTCTTATCCTCTCTTGGCCTGTTCCTGTTCCTAGTGTCTGCTAAAATGACAAGCTATAAAGAGGTGCTTTCTGCTGCTTCAATTTTATTTTATTTTTCATGTTATTAACATCCGGGTGTCTATTTCGTGTGCAAGTTAAAGAAGTACATGCTTACTCAGTTGTGTTTAGGGATTATCTGCTTCTCTGCTGAAATTTCATAAGTTTCGATGATTGAATCATCTCAAACAAACTCAAAACTCAAAAGCATTAATGTGGTTTCTTTTGGTTTTCATTTCTTGCTTAATATTTATATGATATCATTTTAAAGTCTTTCTTCTAAACTTTTCAGGTTCTTTCCCTGAATCAACAGTTTTTTTTTTTTTTATAAAAAACTTAAAATATCCGCCTTTAACCCTTATTGCAGCATTTTATGCCTGTTGGAAATATATTGCATTGGAAGCTTAAGTCTCAGCTTATTCTCCTTGAATGTAATGGTACAGGATGTCTGACGCAGAAACAGAGACCAATCCGATAGACCGTACTGTTGCTCATTTACTCTTCCATCGGCCTCCGGAGTTGTCGGGAAAACATACTGAGACACCTGAATCACCTGCTTCCACAAAGTTCTCATGTGAACGCAAATCTGCGGGTTTAATGAGTTTGCCAATGGGTTGCATATCAGACAATTCACAAGTTAAACAAAACCCTACTCACCAGGCATCAAAAGTTCCTTCTCCATTGGTGGATCCTCAACATATGGAGCAATTTAAGAACAGCCCTTGCATAGATACTTCTGAGAATGCATCTGACTACGGGCCGGTGGATGTGGAGTAGCTCAGGTTGAAGCCTCAAAATGAAACTCGCAAAATGCGAGCTTTGAATTATTATACGGATTTACTGGTAATTCCAAGGTATTTCTTTTCTTGTCAGCTGACTTGATTCTTTCAAGCTTATCATGGTGCCATGAAAATCATCTTAGCCTAACTGGATCTTTGTCAAATGGTGGACCTGGAGCCTTAAAACATTGTCATAGAATCTGCGGACATCTTTCATCAGCATCCATAAACAAAAGCTGAATAGTTGCTTGCATTTGAAGTCAATGGTAGTAGTTATATGTATCTACCGTCTAAATATTTCTGTCTATCCTCTGGTGTACTTCCCGGAGACAACTTGTTTATGTCTGTCATATCTAATCTACTCTTAGCTTTATATTCGACATACCATGTCAAACCAAATAAGCTCCAATAGCTGAAACTCTTATGGTATTGATGCATCATGTTTCTTTTATCACTTTAATATCCCCTGTTTTAAGCTACAACTTTTCTCATATTTTTGTTCCTGCCTGATCTAAATTAAATTTTAACTGTTAAATATTCAAAAATTAAAAAATATATGTCAAATGAAATTTGACTTAGTAATTCATATATTCATATATTCATTTCATGTTTTACATAAAAATTATGTTACAATTCTTTTTTTTTTTACGAATTTTAAAAATCATATTAAGCATAGATTTTTCAATGCTTCAAGTCTACCTGAGATTAAACCCTCCAAAACTCAGTCTCCAAATCAAGGAAGAATAACCCAATTTCTAACCAAAAAATCATTTGTAGTAGCTAACCTACCAAATAAAATTCAAAACCCAATTTCTTACATAAAAAAAAAAAGAAAATATTTTCCTTCTAGGGATCTTATTGCACTTCTTTTAGATAGAAGTGTTTGAATTACTTTTGGTAAAAGTTAGTTGACTATTACATGAACGTGGAATTGTCTTGGTCAGAAAACATAACTGCAATACCATCCATTTCTTGTGAAAATTTTGGACTTTATGAGAAATTTTAATCATTTCATGTGATTGTTGACAAACATATAGTATTACAAACAATTATGATTTTCTTCATTGTAAAGCAACACCTCCTACTTCTCTAGAAGATGTAAAATAATAATTGTTTTATTTCTTAAATTCCACGAGATTAGAAAGTTTGTGTTTCACTAAAACATATTTATGAAAATTAATAAATTAATTAATTATTAAATGAACATATGACATATAATTTTTTTTATACATGTTATATTGACTTGTAAATTGTAGACAGTACTCTCCTATCATATAAGTTACATATTCAAAATATTCTTACATAAAATTATTATTTATTATCAAAAATATAAAAGTTAATTCATATATTTACTTTACGTAAAAATAATCAACGTTAGAATAGTAATTAAATTCTACATAATTTAACACTAAGCCCAGACAAGTACAAAAATTGATTTATCTCCTTTTTTCTACTTATATTAATCTCGAAGTGGAGCAATTGAGGAAAATAAAAATACAATAGCATCCATTTTCGCCATTGAAAGAGATGTGGGAGATTTCCATAACTACTTCAGTTGACAAATTAAAAAGATATATAGGCAAAAAGTAAAAAGTGATATGAAAACTTGGAGAAGAATTAGTACTGCAAGTCTCCAAATCTAAACTAGTCAGAGAAATTTTTTATTTAAGTGAGAAGATCAATGTAAAAGGAATCAATGTTGTTTTGATTTAACAAGATGGCGTGGAACATTAGTTGCATTATCTTAATCTCTGTCAACTTTATTTTAAACTAGTTTCATGCATGCTTTGCTTTAACATTTTAAAGTCTATCTTCAAATTGTTTTGGTTTGAACTCAAGTTTCAAAACTTAACCTCTTTTTTACCAGCTTTTTTGTTAGAAAAATCAAACTATTTCCACCATGTGTATCAAGACATTTCATGGTTATGTTTGGATTAATGGGAAATCAAATCAGATTTTAATAAGGGGCAAAGCTAGAGGGTAGGTAAGGGTTTTGGTCGCCTCAAATTTTTTTATCTTTTTTATTATACAATGATCTGTTTCATCTAATTATTACTTTAATTCCTTCCTTTTTTTTTAATTATTGTTTGACCTCTCTTTTATTAACTTTGCCTCTGATTATAATGTAATATTAATAATAGTTTTAGGAAAGCTATTCAACCTAATTTTACGTTAAGTTTAGATATATATAAATAAAAAAAATGAAATTTTTTTTAAAAAATTGATATATGTGTCCCTTATTTAGATAATTAAAATTAATAAAAAAAATTTACCAACTATTGTTTGAATAAATAATGAAAAGAAAAAGAAATAATTCATTATAATATTTTTTTATTATAACAATCTTTTTGTAAAATAATATATAATATATAAATATAGCTTTATACTACATAATTTGTATAAACAAATCTTTTTAAACAAAATTAAGCATATTTAATACGTTAATATATATTAGTTAGTTATTGATTTACTCTTAATTTTGTGTTTAATTCAATATTTTAATTTATTCTGATAATAATTTGACTTGTTTTGTTATTAAGACGTAAAAAATTATAAAATATTTATAAACTATGATATAATATAAAATACTCAAAAAATTATTTTTATAAAAAATGTCAGTTATATAATCAAATTTAATGTCATAATAAAGCTATTGATATAATAATCTTTTCATAAAAATAAAATTTTTTCAATTTTTCTTTCCTTAACTTTTTTCTCAAATTGAAGTATTAAAAAAGTGAGGATTACAAGAGAAACAAAAAGTATTGAGTTTTCACCTCTTTTCATTTTCTTTAAATTAAAAGTTTATCCAAATAAAATAATGATTTTTCTATTTTTATTACTTTCCTTTATTTTCCTTTCCTTTTCTTTCTCTTTCTTTAATCCAAATATAGCCTTTGGTTCTATCTTCCATTTCTCATATTTTCAATTAGTTCATATTATCATTTTTAAAAAATGATATCTAATAATTTTGAATTTCACATCATAATATTTACAACCCATTTTCTTATCAATTAATTGCAACTTCTTTTATTAAAAAAATCTGTCACATTTAATTATCATGAGTACTATTAATTATTAGCACTATTTGGGGTAAAAAATCTAAGAAACTCCAACCCATTATTGCTCTCGAGTTTAACTAATCTCTAATGTATAATTCTATATTAAAATCTAATCTTTAATTACATTTCAAATTTAAGTTCTACCGTGTAAGATTAATTCATTTCTTATTGGATTTTGTTCAGTATGTATTGAAAATTTGTTTATTTATTTATTTTATTATAATTTTTTTATATACATAAACATAACAATTGGTTAAGATTGTATTTTTTATTTGTAATTGTAATTTCATAAAAAAATTATGTATTAAAGAGTTTGGTCTATTGTATCCAATGTCATTTTTATTCAAGATTTACAAACGGATATTATATGAAAAAAAAAAAAAAAAAACATTTACTATAATAGACTTTTCAATGGAAGGAAAAAAAAATAATCTAGACAAAATTCCTAATAATTAATTCAAGTTTTACACAATTCATTGAACAATGATCTTATCATGTCTAATTTCGTTATTGACTAAAAAGATTCTCGTCATGTTAAATTGATATGTGTCCCCTTGATTACATGTAAGGCTAGCTCTATCCATTGGTTATGATAAAGAATTTAAGACCCATGGCCATGCAAAATGCAATTTTTTCAACGGATCATAATGACGATGTTTTGAATCTGTCATCGGTTGGAAAAATTAAAAGATTAAATGCCACGTTACCCATCAATTGGCAGACATTCTGGTAAATAAGCCTGTCTTTTTGACAAAAACAAAGCAAATTACGCGACATGTTTGACATAGACATATATAAAAGCAAAAAAAAACCGACCGGCTTTAGCTTATCGAGGCTCTTTAGTCTTGGCTATTAAAAGCAGAACAAGTGAAATCCGTGTCGTGTTTTTTTTTTCTTAAATTACACTCAAAATTCAGTCAAAGTTAACAGTTTATAGAATACGGACAAAATTTAGATAAAATTTAATAAATGAAAATTGTGAAAATTTTTATTAAAAATAAATAAATAAAAATTTTAATAAAAAAATAAATTAATAAATTGATAAAATTTAATATAAATATTAATAACATGTAAAAAATTATTAAATATATTATTTATAATTTAAATTTGATTTATACTTATTTAACGAAAAAAATTTTATCAATATTTTTATCAAAAATAATATTTAATAAATATATCAAAATTTTAATAAATTTGTACGATTAATTTTTTTTAATTTATTAATTTTAATTTTTTTACAAAATATTGAATTTTTAATTTTAAAAATTAAAATTAAAACAATACTATTCTTACATTCAATACAAACAAATCAATTAATTAACTAAATAAATTAACAATTCAGCATAATTTTGAACCAAACTAGTAAAATGGTAAGACACCGACACGAACTTGAGATTTAATGATTCCAAAATCTTTTCATTGTCATTCAACCAGACTTTATTAGCCAATTTGTGTTATTATATACACTAAATTAGTAGTAGAATTCATCCAAGTGAATTAAGAAGTTGAAAGAATATGCTTTAATTTGTCGTCTTTTTAAAGAGTAGCATTCAACTTTTGCTGCGTTTTCGTTATCATAAACCAGAAGTCTTCACCAAATCATAGAGATATAATTAAGCTGTTTACATTGGGGACCATTGATTCGATGCCCTTCTTGACAAATCGATGTTAAACACATCACCCATGTCGTTGGAAGAGATGCTTTCAAACAAAAACAAGTTTGAAATAAGTCCTGGTCTACAATTTTTCTTAATTAAATAATATATGTTAATTAAAAAAAATCTAATTTGCATGTAAAATTATAATAAATATGAGATAATACTATTTTAATAAATTTTTATAATACGCGTGATAAACTTAAAAATGGTATAAGACAAAAATCACATAATAGAGGTGGATTTTGATTCCGACCGTCCAACCTTACATAAATATTTTGGGGCAAAAATCTTTGAGTTATTTGGAATATCTTGAGAGTTTAAAGGTATTTTGGTCTTTTGAATGATTTAAGCATTTTCTTTTTTTGATCGACCTGATGTGACAAAATCGTTTTAGAGAAGATACGCGACTGAAATTTCTAAATTCGCACATCTCATAACTATCGATGTGGATAACCTTTTCATCCCACATACACTTCATTTTGATCATGCTGACATGTCATTTGTTCATTGAAGACTGTAAAGCCACATCAGGTCAAGCTCTACCATGTCAGCTTATGTATAAATATCTTACTTTCTTAGTAAATAACCCTATGTCACTCATTCCTTCAATCTCGGCTTTCTTTTTCACCCTTCATTCCATTCATTTGAGCATTGGAGTAAAGATTTCGAAACACTTTTCAATTTTTGCTTTTGATTTTGTTCTTGCTTTCAATTTATATATAAAATCACATAAAAACTAATATTTAACAAATACGAGATAGCATCCCTTTAACAAATAAAAAATAATGTTTAATTTAATTTAAATTTGTTTCTGATTATTGTTTTTTAAAACGTAAAATTGCCATGCACATTTAAAGAAACTACGTGTTAGGTAACCTACCGAGACTGTTAGTTCCCTTGACAAAATCTCTATATAAAGCCATGGTTTGCCACAGTTTATTTCCAAGCCATAACACATTTCAATTCTGTAGTACTGTTCCATTCTATTACTGCCTACCATGGCTTCTGCTTTTTCTTTTTCAAAGTTTTCTCTGACTTTGCTTCTCCTAGTGCTTTTCTTGGGGAGCACCAATGCTCAACTTTCAACAAATTTTTACTCAAAATCATGTCCAAACTTGTTTTCGACTGTGAAATCCACTGTTCAATCTGCTATAAAAAAAGAGGCCCGGATGGGAGCCTCCCTGCTTCGATTGTTCTTCCATGACTGTTTTGTTAACGTAATTCTTCTTCTCCCCCCACCCAAACTGAAATTTTCTTTGAAAATAATGCATATTTCATTGATGACACGTCTTATATCTGAAGCTTTTTAGGAACATGGCCTCCTCTTTGTTCGACTAATGTCAAAAAGGACATAAAAAACAGTTGGTTTGGGACTTAAGAAACCGACCCAGTTGACCTCTATATCTTATATGTCCAATGGCTTTGAGTTTGTAATCTTTTATTTCATATAAAACTAACAACTATGTACCTTGATTTCATGGTGGTATTTGGTTTTGATGATAGGGATGTGATGGATCATTGCTACTCGACGACACATCTTCCTTCACCGGAGAGAAAAATGCTGTCCCAAATCGTAACTCTGCTCGTGGATTCGATGTGGTTGACAACATCAAATCTGCTGTTGAGAATGCATGCCCTGGCGTGGTTTCATGTGCTGATGTCTTGGCTATTGCTGCTAGAGACTCTGTCACCATTGTAAGTACTAACTTTTGACTTATAAGCCCCTTAGTAAAAGTTCCAATCAAGAAAGTAATTGAGAGAATGCCCCTTTTTTGGTATGTAGCTGGGAGGCCCCACCTGGGATGTGAAGCTTGGAAGAAGAGATGCTAGGACCGCAAGCCAGTCTGCAGCTAATAACGGCATTCCTCCTCCAACTTCTAACTTGAACCAACTCATTTCCAGATTCAATGCTCTTGGACTTTCCACCAGGGACTTGGTTGCTTTATCTGGTTTGTCCTTAATTTCCCCTCAAAGAAATCAATTTTGATTAGAGTTTATATTTAATATACTATCAGTGACTCGACTGTCGTGTTGAAAATCAGGGTCACACACAATTGGACAAGCAAGGTGCACATCATTCAGGGCTCGCATATACAATGAGACCAACATTGACAGCTCCTTTGCTCAAACAAGGCAAAGAAACTGCCCAAGAGCAACTGGCTCAGGGGACAACAATTTGGCACCCCTTGATATTCAGACTCCAACATCTTTTGACAACAACTACTTCAAGAACCTCATCAACAGGAGAGGACTCCTCCACTCTGATCAACAGTTGTTCAACGGCGGCTCCACGGATTCCGTTGTTCGGGGTTACAGCAACAATCCAAGCTCTTTCAGTTCTGATTTTGTTACTGCCATGATCAAAATGGGAGACATTAGTCCCCTCACTGGATCAAGCGGAGAGATCAGGAAGAACTGCAGAAGGGTGAATTAATAAAATTAATGAAGAGTGATGCTTTGTCTTTGGAATAAAACATATAAAGTGGTGGAAATTTTAGGATTGTGTCTCCGTGTGTGTGTTTTTTTAATATTTTCCAAATTATTCAATGGCTTAGACCCAGTTGCTCAGACTTCGTGATCAAATAGTGACCTTGGTTAGAGTGAGAATTATTTCAGTATTAATAAAAACAAAATTTCTATTAATGTATTAGGCCTAATATTCTTTTGAATAAAATATACCATTGGTCACTTATTTATGATTGCATTTTTAAAATAGTAATTTAATTATTAAAATTTTTAATTTAATTTCTAAAATTAAAAAAAAAAATTTAAGTTCTTGATCTACATTTAAATCATCTTACCCAACTACTAACCTGACTGAAGAGAACATAACTCGTCTAAACTCTCTCAAATTCGTAACTTTTAAATGATAACTCTAACGATATACTAACTAATTTAAGATATAATTGACATTTAAACAAAAAAATTTATGATTTAAAAGTTAGTTTTTAATAACATAGTAATGTGGTAATATCACATCAATTATCAAGTATCTATTATCACATCATTTAATATATGATACGATATTATTGATGTGACATTATAAATTTAAAAAAATTGATATGATAAATGTGTTATTGCCAATAATTGAATAATTAAAAAAATATTTATTTAAATATTAATAACTAAATGAAAATTTTAATAATTTAGTAATTATTTTATAAACATAATCATTACCGAGCAACCAGTGGAAAAATTTACCCTATTCTTTTCCCCCTTTTTCAAGTTTTTTATAGTGTTGAGAATTGAGATCATTTAATCCTACCCAGTTCAAAAGCCCGATCCCATCTCAATGACAAACCTTAATAAAAAAAATGTTACCCAGTCGAATAGGCTTAAGCCAGCATGGGCGAAGCCCAGCTGCTAAATTCTTAAGTCATTTGTATTGGGCGAATATTAGCAAGGGCTTGACCATTAACCCTTTGGGGAAGGCTTTTTGGAGAAGAAGGACAACAGCCTTGGCACAAGCTCTTAGCCCATGAGTGTTTGCCTTTTTTTCTTTAATTTGTTGTTTTGTTCATGCCATATTTTTGTATAGGCTTTCACCCCACCTTAAATTTCGAGATGACATTCTCCAAAAAAAAAAAAAAAAAAAAAAAAAAAACCTTTTGAGGTGAGATGTTTTTTTGCACTTAACCTTTTGAGGTAGTCGATGGGTCTAAGATGTAGCCCATTAAAGAAAACCTAGTTTTAAGATACGAGGCCTTTTATATTTCATTGGAACTCAACTTAATTAGATTATATAATTATTTTAAAAAAATAATATTTAATAAATATAAAATTTTAATTTTAATATCTGTAATTTTTTATACTTAAACGACTGCTTCTTTTGTAAAAAAAAATTATGCTCCGTTAAACCCTTAAATCATCAACTTGGAAGAGCATTATAACACAACATTACTAGAGTAATGTGGCTTAGTTAAATAAGAATAAACTAGTTTTCAATAAATAATTGGGCATGGGTCAAATTCCCATAGGAAATGGCATATTTCCCTGGAGAAAGTAGAAAGTAGGAAGTAATGAGAGTGAAAGAAGAAAAGAAAAGAAAGAAAGAAAAAATCATAATAATGATAGAAAGAGAATATCATATGGCATGTTGTTGACATTGAAATTTTGATGTTTCATATTGAGAGAAATAGCACACTAGATTTTCTTCACAATATCACAACAACATTAAAAATTCAGCTTGACAATTAGAGCCTAAAAAAAATTTGAGTTTTAGTTCACATTTTTTATGAAGGATTAAAGTTTTTCTTGGTTGACTTAATTATCTTGTTACTAATTATTTATTTATTTGTCAAGAATATCATAGCACGCGAGCAAAATTAATTTTCTAATTAATCAAGCTTATCATTTCACTAACAACCTAAAATTTTATCAGATGTTGACCTAAAAATTTTGGGAATAATTCATGATTATTGTAATGGTTTAATTTCATTTTGTTAATTAATCCTTAACAAAGAAATTTATCAAGAACTTTTGCCGGTGATCGGCATATAAATGTTAATTAAATTAGGAATTTAAAATTTAAATGAATTAATTTATATAATCAATTTTTAAAATAACATGTAAATATAAAATTCAAAATTTATTATCATTCCCTTATCCTAAATTATGATATCTTTTGTTAATTAGATATGTCTTAATGTTAACTTTTGGAATCTTATGGGATGTGTCACTCTAATAACCAAACAACATCTGACATCTGAGAGAAAAGTTGTTACAATTTTTATTGAGTACAGCTTAATCTATCAGAAGATGCCAGTCCAATATTAATGTCATAGCAGTAAAAAATTCTTATATATTCTTCAATTAACCAAGGTCTTTTTTATGTCTTTCTTGCTTTCTGATCATAACAATAATTTTCTGTAATAATCTAAAGTTTAGGAATCTTCAGACATCATTCCCTAAGAGCATCACCTTATCATCACCATATGTAACAGCTGTCTTTGTCCTAACTTGATGGATTCCTCCCCTTATCATCACCTTAATTACACGTAAATTTTGTAATGTAATTTTTAGGGTTTCAATCCCATAAAAATCTCCATGTTTCTCTTTTTCTTTTCTTGTAGAGATTTGATGGCAAACATACTTAGAGTTGCCTAGGATGCTGTTTTCCTCACATCTCCTTCGCTATCAGCTTCAAGTTGCCTTGACCAAATCTCTCTCCTGTATCCAGCAAAGCTAACAGCATTTTTTTTTTCCTTTTTCAATGACTCGAAAAATGTTTAATCCATTTAAGTCTCTTTATTCATTCAACCAAACTCCTAACTAAATTGACTTATAGGAAATATAGAATGGTACTCTGACTGGTTATAAATATAATGGTCACCCTCATTTAATTTGAGCAAGACCATCTCTCATAATGCTGGATTCCATAGTTTTTCATAGTTGAAATGTGTGTTTTAACTCCTCAAATAAATGTGTTTATATATTTGATATATTATCAATGTATATATTGTCAGTGAATTAAATGATATTAACTTATTAACGAAAAATTTTTAAATTAAATATTTATGTATTTATCTTAAGAGCTAGTAAAAATTTTATATTTGTTCATTATTTAGATGGTATTATTTAATTTATTAACAGTGTATAAAAATTTATATACTGATAAAATATCAAATATAAACTCTTATTTGACTCAATCATAACTGTATGTATTCACTATTTATTTAAAAAGTGGGTTCAAATCTTCATCTCTCAAAATTAGATATCTTTTTTATTATTTTCTATTAATGAAGGAAATTAAAAAAAAATTAGAAAATGATCGTATAGGGACAAGGTGAGATGCCATTATTTCAAGCAAACGTGACATGAGACCAAATTCCATCACATCTCTTTGGCATTCTAGAGACTCAAGACTTCCATAAAATATAATACCCCATACATACAAACAGATATTAATTTACATATAATATATTATTAATTTATACATCTACATATATACATTATATTATATACATATACGCACATCGTACAAGGTATATATATTTATTTGTACTATCTTTTGGTGGTAACTATGAGAATAAGTTCAAATATAGACTATAAATTCAAATAAAATAAAGGTATATTTATATATACGTGCATTTACACATATATATACATAGAAAGAGAAGTATAAGTGAAAAAAAACAGAAGATTAATAGTAAATGGTGATGAATGGATAAAGTTTCCCATAGCTTGCTTACTTAAACAATCCACGTTTCCTAAATCCCTATTCCCACAGGCTGAAATCCACACGCCAAGGAAACCAATGAGTTGAGGAAAAATAATCTTAGCTGGAACCATCAACAAAATACATATCATACATCATTACATTGTAGCTTTGATAGGTTGCAAGATTTGGTTATTTCAATTAATTTCTTGACTAGATTATCACTAGATCCTGCTTAATTGCACCAGTATTTTCTCTAATTTTGTCCAATTAATTAAAAACGTACAACTTTGACAAGTTCCAACCAATAATTGAACCAAATTCAAAATCAATAAATTAATGGGGTTAGGAGGTGAAGCATACTCTTCGAGATCGAACAAATTCATATTTAAAGTTTGCAATTAATTATCAGGTCATGCGTCCCTAGTAAGTTCTAATTTGTCAAAGAAATTAATGGAAAATCTTTGAAATTTTTGGGTGGGTATCTGCATCAAGAGCATATTACCTACAATCATTATAATACAATTAACCAATCATAATTTAAAATCGTGAAATTCATTCAAATTTTATATAGAACTTGCAATTATGAGTGATAGACTCTTACATAATTTTTTATTGTGATTAGATAATAATATGATTATAATAAAAATAATTGTAAGTGAAATGCTCTTTTATAGAGCATTTAAACTTGGATTCTATATAGTATATATTGCTAGCTAGTTTCAACATTAATAATATGAATAAATTATCTACGTTTAAATTTCCATATCATTTGAAATTGTCAAACTCATCTTCTAGCAAATAATATGTGAAAGTCCTTCTTAGACAAAATTAAGCGCAATCAACAGATTAAAGTACCTAACAAAAAAACTAGAGGGTTGGCTATATTTAATTATTCATCACAAGGAACCACTATGCCAAACCTACATATGAATAATACGAAAATAAAAAGAAAGAAGAAATGAAAGCAAACAGGGAAAAAATAGATTGAAAAATACCATCTGCCACAAGAAACTTTCTTCAACCAGGAAATGGGAAAATATATATATATATATATATATATATATACACATATATATATGAGAATAATACAGTACCAAGAAATAAATTACAGAAAATTTAGAATTTTTTTATTTATTTGTTTGTACCAATTATCATTACAAGCCAAAAAGTAAGAAGTGACGTAAAAGGAGTTATAAATGAGAAAACAGATTTTATTTGCATATGCTTCAACAATCAACACACAAAAAAAAAATCCTTAGAAATTTCTAACCTGCATGGGGATGATCACAACAATACCTTTTGTCTCCCCTCCCAACTTTATGTAACATTAGATCATTCAATGGCACAGAATAGCATGTGCTCACAGTCTGTCCTTCATGTGCATTGAGTTCACCACTTGTTTCTTTTCCCAACACACACAATAAAAAATTCAACTAGTATCTGCCATTTACTTTACTTCTAGGGTTCATATCTCATTTCACTAATATTTATTTTCTTCACGAAAGAAGGAAATTAAAACAGAAGCTTAAAAAAGCCTAAACATTACTCCTAACAAAAAAAAAAAAAGAGAAGCTTAATACATGAGAAGTTGGTGTTATGGATGTACTTCACATGATGCCACTATGGAAAAAAGCAATTAATTCTTGTGGCTATAGATCCATTCCCTGTATGGTGGTGGCCGTATTATTCATTAAGGAAAGCAATAAAGAGAAGTGGAAACCAAGAAATTTAATAAATGATAAGAAAACAATGTAGAAGAAAGAAACACATCAACCTAACCAAACCAACAATTATAGGTAAAGGCATATATGGACTTCAATTGTGGAGCAAGGCAAGCTAGACAGTAATTAATTGAGTGACTAAATAAAACAAAGCAAAGAAACAAAAATACTCATATCTTCCTCTTTTTATTCCATGTTGCTTCATAATATAGAAAAATAAATGGGATATTTTAATTTCAGTCTAGGTAATACTTTTATCAAAAGTAGGAAACGTTGTGATCATTTGAAATCGTGCTATAGTCTGCAGCACTGGTAGGTTGGGTATACATGGAAGAAGTGGAAGTATGAGGAAGAGGAAGAGGTGGTGGCGGAGGCGGTGGCTGTGTTGGGGTTGATGGTGGTGGTGCAGCAACTGAAACAATCCCGGAAGAGAGCAAGGCTACATGGGAAGAGGGTACAAGGTTAGCTTCCCTACACTTGTATTTAAGTATCTCAGCCCTTACTGCATTTAGTTCAGCTTGTAAAGATTGAACTTGTTGCTGCAAAGCTGAAATTGCACCCATGCACCCGTAAACAGGATCTCTTAGCCTCACATTAGCCTCATAAACAAGACTATTAGCCGCGTCAGCTCTTTGGCTCTCTGGTACCTCCTGAGTTACATACAGCGTGAAAGGCATCATTAGAACACCCATGATTGTATTATAAAGAAATAATAAAAAACTAACTGAAGTTGATGTTCAAGACATCTAATAATATTCATAGGAATTAGGGTTTTAATTACCATAAGCATCTTTGAGACATTGCTAGCACCAAAGACTTTGTGAACAGAAGCAAACTTTTGGGGTTCATGGGGGGAGAAATATGGAGAAAAAGGGCATTCCTGAGCGCACCTACGCCTCAAGAGTTTGCAGGCTGCACATGGTGTAATAGTATTTAGGGTTCCAGGAGGACCCAACATGTGTCTTCTTCCCATCTGATGATGAGATGAAACATCTGCTTCTCTCTTGATCTTCTTGCCTATCTCCTCAAATCTCTCCCTAAATATATAACACAAAGAAATAAAAAGGAATTAAAAAAAAAATCGGTAATTACTGTATATATATACCAATAAACTAATTTGATTGAATATATCTATATATATATATATATATACAAGGAAAATACGGTCTAATCTCTAACAATATTATAGAGCTAAGATTTCTACTTCTTACCTTTCTCTGGACATTCAGGCATGCTCCCAAGTATGGAGAACAATTTTCTCAGTCTGAGAGAAAGAGAGAGATGAAGGGAGGGAGGAAATGAAGCAAAAGAAAAAGAAAAAGAAAAAGAGAGAATTATGGGGGAAAGGAGTACTTAAAAGGCAAGATATGCAGGGGAAAGGTGTGGTCCACTGTTTATTATTAAAATGGACTAGACAAAAAGGATGCAATAATAATAATAATATTAAGTTGATAATAGAAACAAAGAAGCTAACAATTTTGTTGGTCTGATGAATAAAAATTTTGGAACTCCCTTGTTAAAGTTTCTGTACGCACGAGGATTCCTGGAATTGTAATTTGCTGACAAAAAAGGAATACCAGTACTTGAGAGAGAGCTTCAATGGAAGATAAGGAGAGGGAGAGAGAGAGAGAGAGAGAGAGAGAGAGAGAGAGAAATTGAAGAGATGATCTTTGTTATTCGTAGTATAAAAATGCCAGCTCTATCACTGCTTGCTCACGTGCGACTCCTTAAATGTGTTAGACTTTTGGAAAATCATACTATTCAACTTGGGTTTGCCACTTGTGGTCTTTGCCCTTCCTCAAGAGAGACCAAAACCTAATTACATTTATAAACTACAATTGAAAACCGTTTTTTTAATATCACCACCTAATTTTTTAATACCTGAATTTTGAACCTCACCTTGCCAAATATAAGTACAATTTCCATATATGCTTTCAAAATGAAGAATATAATTTATTATCTCAAGAGAAAATTCTTATCTTTTGCGTAGATTTTAATTTTATAAAAAAATCCCAACTTGATGATAAAATAAATTAAATATTATTTTTTAAAAATAATTATATGAATCCGAATTAAACTCTCAAATCATCTCTTAAACCCATAAGTTTTCATGTATAACGAAAAGACTTGATTATGTCACTCCTTTTTTTTTACAAAATTTAATTATTCATGATATATATATATATATATATAATTCATGTATGTTTTAGTTGACAATATTACAACTAAAACAAGCTATCAAAGGTTAGGTTATGAAGTCGAAGATATATATCGATGACGATATAGAAAATGAGCTTTTCATAAGCCCAAGCATGTTAGTTTCTTGTCAATATCAAGAAGCCATCTCCACTATGCAGGGATCTAGTTCCGAAAATGAAATTTTAATTATGATAAGAATTGCCGTGTACTACCCGCAATTTGTTGTTTCAAGATGGCCAAGTGACCTTATATTGCAGACCTGGTGACAATGAGTGCAGCCTCATTTTGAAATGTTGAATTAAAAGCTACCTAAAAGCATAAACACATGCACATATGAATAAATAATAATATAAATTTCCCTAAATAATTTAATCATGACAGCTTTTGTTGACTAGGAGTAAAGGTTAAGAAGAAGCTAGAAATTGGAATTTCAAGAATGTTAAAGGTGGTTATATACGAGATACGAGAGAATTATTTTCTTTTGTGCAGTTCAAAGCTCAAACCAAATAAACTTTTTACACACACACATATATATATATTTATATTTATATTTATTTATTTATATAATGTTTATAGCTAGGTTTAGAAAAACGCATTATCATGTTTAAAAAGATTAATAAATTGATATTTTGTTTTTTTTTTTTGGCAAAACAAGCTTTTTAATTGATGGAGAAATGATAGAGTACATGGATTAACAAAAAATAATTGATACTTAGGTGAAAGTTATTTTTGTTAATAACATTCAAAGGAGTGAAGACCTCATGACTCTCCCTATCTTTCTTATTATCTTCTTGTTATGGGGAATTACATGCAATGAAGCAAAATATGGGAAATTAGATGCAATGTAGCTAAAGTTATAATAGCTATATATATTTATTATAAAAAAGCCTTAATTTTGGGAAAAAAAAGGAAGAAATTCAAATGTTGAGATTTAAACTATAAATATATTAAATATCACATTTTAAAAATGATTTCATAAATCAATTATGCTAAATTTTGATTCTATATTAACTCGTCTTCATTATTTTAGTACGTAATTAAATTTAGATTCAATCAAAGTTCTTAGGGTCATTTATTGCCCAACAATGAGACAAAGAGAATCTCAAAATACAAAATGAAATTAATCACTTTTATCCAGCTTGCAAAAGCTTACTCTTCAAAAATTTACACTAAGCTATCACTGATATTCACAGAAAAAGATTGGCCAACCTCAAGATTATAAAACTTTTTGTAGATAGCGAAACATGGATTCATAAGGATTGATCACATGCTTATATATAGAAAGACAGCCCACCTACATTTTCACAAATAGAAAGCGTTACAATTCAAGAACTTTACTCGATCATTCTTTTTAACCTCAATATTTGTCTCATTCATTTTACTTTTGAATTTAATTTATTGTGACATCGTATTCCCTTTTAAATAAATTTTTGATCATATATATATAATAAAAAACCGTACGTAATAAACCAATTAATTTTAGATTGAAAATTTAATGAGTTGTAACTTTATTTGTCAAAGTGGGTGGTGAAAAAGAGAGGGGAAAATAGTATATTTTAAAGATCATTAGTATGGTTGGCAATCCACTCTGAATCCGTCGGATTATGATTCAATTGGTTTTTTTTTTTATTTGAAAATCTAGTTTCAAGTAGGGTCGGGTTGAACTTTTTTTTGTTTTTTTTAAAGTTGAGATCAAGTTTTAGGCAAACTCATCTTAACCCGACCTAATTTATATATATATATATACAATATTTTTATTATTTATTTAATTTTATATTTATATATTTATTTAATTTTTTATTATATTTTAAAAATAATATTTTATTAATTTTAGATTGAATTGGATCAATTATAATTTTATACATATACAAGTCAAATAGAAAAATAATGTTTTAATATCAAGTCGGATCAAATTCAAATATTTATTATATAAAACTAGATTGAATTAGGGACGAACAAAAACTAATTTCGATTTGATTCAACCTGTTGTCATCTCTAATCATGAAAAAATCATACAAGTGGTAAATTTGCTTAGATTTTAAGGAAAACGGAACCATCCATTAATCTTGTTTGACCCGTATTTTCAGGCTAACAAATCGCCCCTTTGTCCTTTCATCCCCAGCCTCTCTCTCTTTGTCCCCGTTCCAACTCAAGGCCCAGAATTCACCCACTTTCACTATTTTCTCATGCAGTCAAAGTTCCCTAAACCCTAAAAAACCAGTTCAAGGTCTTCAAAAAACCATGTCTTAAATATTACCTAACGATCATTTGTTTTTCAACTTATAGTATACCGAACAAACATTCATTTCAAATCTCAATATATATAAATATAGGTCAAAATGCATGCATGCATGCTATTGCTATATATCTGGAAAAATTAAAATGTACAGTAATTTGTTACCTAACTGTCATTAATTTGTCACTTACAAGAGCCTTATATACATATAGGATCATGTCGAAAATCCTTTCAATTTTTTTTGGCCTAATTGAACTAGTCAAATCAGGGTTAGTAAAAGCAGATGATGACTTTTACTAGCTAGAAACCTTATGATTGGGTTAGTTTCTTTCATTTTCGTTTTTCATTTGTGGATGTTGTCCATAACTATAGAGCAGGCCGGTTGAATCCAATTAATTCTGGCCATTAGATCAGCTCAGGTTTGCCTAGTTGGGAACAAGTTACAAGAGGCATAGGGGGCAATGGAGATTCTATGTTTGAGCTATACTTTTCTCTAGTAATTAAAAGAAAAGTGTTACGCTAATCATGCATGGATTTTTCTTGATAAGCCCTAACTACATTAACCATGTATTTAACAATATATATATATATATATATATATAATAATCTAGATGGAGATAATGAAGGCTTTTCAACTTAAAAATATAATAATGAAGTGAGCATGATTCCTTTGAGTTTTGTTTTTTTACCTGTGACCCTCCTTTACGCGCACAAGCATTGAGAATACCTGTAAATAACAGGAAATAAATTAAATTTTGAGTTTAGCTTCATGTGAAGAGAGAGAGAGAAATTCATTTGAGAGTAACTTGAAGAGAAAAAAATGACTTTATTTTATCACAAACTCAAAATGCCAAGAAAATTTTCAATAAAAGATTTTGACCGAACCTCAAAATCAGAAGTATAGATAGTGGTAAAATTGTACTAATTGAAAGATTAACGATAGATTTAAGACAACCACATAGGTAGAATTGATAAATTTGCAGTTTATCTATATTTGTTTAACCTTTTTATTAATTAAGGTAGATGATTTAAACGTTAAAAAGAAGAAAACAGAAGAAGGCTTAAAAATTCAACCCAATTTAATTGAAAATTGGGTTCGGACTTTAATGCTCCTTCTTTACCAATTAGGAGTGAGAAAAAAAATCAAAAACTGATTCAAAATTGTAAGGTTTAATTTGGTTAAAATCGTATTTTTATTTGGTTGTGATTGGTTTGGATCAGATTTCAGAATAAGAAGTGAAAAATTGAAAAAACTCGAATCAAATTGAATTATATTTTTATTACCTTTTATATATTTTAAATTTTTATAAAATAAAATAATTATTTTATATATAAATATATTTAAATATATTAAAATAAAAAATAAATTTCACAAACTAATAAACCGAACCAAACCGATAGAATTCGATTCCAATTGAATCGGTTTCAAGAAAAAAAAACTTGTTCGAATTAAGATCAAAATTTAAAAATTCATAACAAATATATATTATAAAAAAATTAAACCCAATTTGATCTAATTTAAAACATTATCACCTCTAATCCCAATTAAATTGTTACATTTTGATATTTTTTTGTCAAATTTTAAAATTTTGACCTTATATTATTTTATATTTATTACTACAAAATATGAAAAATATATTGTAAACATTTTGAATCAAATAATTTTTAAATATATGTTTTATAAATTTAATTGAATAAAATATTTAAAATAATAACGATCAAAGTTAAAAAATTTGAAAATAAAACAGTTTACTTGGGATAGAAAGAGTTCCAAAAATTTTACCGAACCAAGAAGCCTGATATTTAAAAGGGCCTAAGCCCAAATCTTTCACTTGATAACTTTTGCCCACAATCACTTTCCCAACTCTCTTGCCTTCACTTTCAAGTTTTAACAATACAAAGGTACCATTTTCTGATAAACCCAACCACTTAAACTGGGTATAATTGGAACATTATCGCCAACAAATTGAAAACAATGATGCAAAATTCCAGAATTCTTAATAGAAACAATACTAGACAAGCCCAATCATCATAAACAAACATTAGATTACAATATGAGGATAAATATTACAAACCCAATCAAAGCAACTCGATTTTAGTACTAAATAGAAATTCATATAACAACGGTTTATAACAACATTATACAATAAAAAATAATCACTCATTTCAACTGCACCCCTATTTATAAGAAATTAAGCTACTGATTCAAAAATATAATAACAATGATCCAAGTGGATGACATAGTTGCATGTAGAATCAGGACATTGAAGAGCTACATCTTTGCAGGGCCTTCC